GCGTAAAAATCAATCCCTGTCGTTGTGAAAGCACGTTCTCTTTCTTTATCGCACTGAAGTGTACAATATCAACTATATGCGTGCAAAATTATGATTTTCGACGAGTATCAACAAGAATCAACAATTGTAGAATAAAAAAATATGTGATAAATACAGTATAATTAAAAATATCATGCTATTTTTCGAAAATACAGAAAATAAAAAAATTATGACATTTCTTCATTTACTATTTATTGAAATTAAATTTGTTAATTAAATTTATTTTAATGTCTGTTAGAATGGATAGAGATAATAATATATCTTCCATTTTCCGATTAAAAATTGCAAATATACGTAACACTCGTATCAATGCCTTCGGATAATTACTTTCTCGGTTTCATCGAAGAGTTGTCTCCTAATTACACAGTCTTTATTATACGCCGTATAATTGCAAGCTTCTCGAAGATGAGAGAGGAAGATTCTCGTATATCAGCCACGAGAAACGGCAGGTATTTTATTCGCATGGAATTACGCGACATCTCGGATTACGTCGGGCTTAACAAACGCCTCGCTTGGGGGAAGTTGTTTTTTAAATTATTGTTGCGAGCCGCTGAGTTGAGTCGAGTCAAGATGGTGAAATTTATGCCGGTGTTCGTACGAATTTGTGGCCACGCGTTGTTACGCAACGGCAGGAGACGCATGAAAACATGAGCGTGTACGAGGGAGAGAGAAAGAAAGACGCGATTACATCGCACGTAAGCAAAAGATCGGAAGAAGAATTTCTCCTGTCTTGTCTCGCAGATTAGATTAGGTCATGACGATGACGCTGGCGCCGCGCTCTCTCATTTCTTCTGGCGACTTTCGTCTTGATTTCAAAACATCCTTCGTCGAGAGACGACATTGTCAATATCTGGTCCCGAAATTTGAGTTCTTTACTTAAATTGGTGTAAATTATTTATTACGTAAAAAGCCAATTTATATTAAAAGAGAATTTTTAAAATGGTCGATCTATCGCAATTTCGCCGATCACTGCTCTAATTTTATGATTTTTGAGAAATTTTTACAACCAGGACTGTGGGCTCGTAAAAACGATGTATACATAGAACTGTAGAAACCTTTCTTGATAAATTTGAATATGTTTACATAATGTAATATGATTACATAATCTGTAAACTAGAATTATATGTAATATTATTTAGTAGTGCTAGATTTAGTTTATATATTAAAATATTTAACGCATAAATTAGAATGCTTAATCGTAGTCAATGAACCGGATATAATTCAGAGCTCAAAGTTGCTTACTGAAAAATATTGCTGTGTGTAGTTTCTCCTTTCTCTTATGATGTAGTATTCAAATTTCATATTTTATTTTTTTAATTTTAAACAGAGAGAAAGTGATAAATTTCTGATTTTTTTTTAAATTATTAAATTATTAAATCCAAGATGCTAAATTATGAATTTGTTAAATGATAACAAGTGTAAACCAACGATGGATGTATTCTGTTCTTAAAACTGCATATGGAACAGATGATATAATAATTTTCAATATTTTTAATTTTAAAGATAAGAAGTTTCATACAAGCATTCGATCATTCAGGTTCAAGATCGCGCGCGCCACGCTTTCTCACATAATCTCGCAAATAAAATCGATTCGCACGGAGAACTGGTGCTTGCAAAATATGTTTGATACTCAAGAGAGCACGAGGGACAAGCGCGTGCTGAAAAATGCGGCGTTTCCGCGGGGCGACAGAACATGCGATACGCACTTCCTGTACAATTAGTCATGGCAGCGCGACACGCCGTTGTACACCGTCGCTTGCGTAAGAAAAGAAAACTGCGAGTGCTAATACGAAACAAAAAAGATAAAGAAAATGGAATTTAAGTTTTCACGAAATGTGGTGCGAAAAAAAGAGGCGCACGCTCATTCGAGTGAACGCTTCGAATTGTCCAGTTGTCATCTACGCTCGATAGTGAACAGATTGATTATACGAAACAGAAGACGTATTCTCAATATCGTATAATTTCCCTGATCGCGGTGTCTCAAATTCGAGGCAACTCTTTATCATTACGTGTAATTTTGTTTAATAAATTTGATAATATTACATATAATTCTTAAATATCTTAGCAAATGACGTGCTCTTTATGCGCTTGATGCAATATGATACAGCTTTTAAAATGCAGGCACAGAAAGGCGGAAAGAGAAAGAGAGGAAGGGAGAGGGATATATGCAGGAAGTGGTACAGCATTGCCGCAGGGAAGGACGCCGAATCTGGGCCACAATTATACGGAGGCCGACGTTGCGCCTCTCCTTCCTCGTGCGACTGGCGCCGCGCGGTTACACACCACGCATACTCTCGCTTTCGAAATAATAATTATTTAATACCCGAAGCAACCGCGGTGAAATGTGCGGTCCGAGGAAGAAAGAGAGAAAGAGGAACCGGTTTCCCCTTTCGGCCCATCTCATGACAGCTTCCGAGAGCTCGAGAGCAAAAGCAATAAAAAAAACACACATACACAAAAGCGATATCCACTTGCAATTTTCGGACGAGAGAGGCATCGATATCGCGGTTGCGGACCTATCGATCGTTATCTTAATTTGCTTCACGTATTAGACTTGTCCGGGCTTACGGCCGTTGTAAATAAATTACCGAGAAAATGAAGAAAAAAAAAAATGTTTTGACAACATTTAGAAAATCAAACCGGACGCAGAAATAAATGCTTACGATTCTCACGTGAGCGTTTCAGCAATTATCGAATCAGCCGTCGATCAAGCCGCTTGATACTTGAAAGACTGGAAGTAATTGCGATGAAAATATTCGATTGTACCTCTAGGACATTCATTGCGGAAGTAGGGGAAAGTGGTAGCGCAAAGGCAGAAAGGCCGAAAGTAGTTAACCGAGCGGTCAGTATGCGCGCAACTCGAAAATGATAAACAGCGCGAGAGTTTCGGAATTGCCGCGATCGCGATAGAGGATAATAAAGCGTTCTCAGCGAAGCGTGTACCGTTATGCATGACTCATTGAACGGCCGATCGATGATCATGAGAAAAGTCTTAGTGCGTCCGCGTACGCAGCTGCCTGCGAGGAATGCAGAAAACACTGTTTAACATTCCGCGCGACGCTGTCCATATTCGTCCGATAACAGGTTTCGAATTATCTCTACTCTTTTCGTTGCATTCCATCGCCTTCGAGCGCTTCCGAAACATTTTTCATCTGACATCGCTGCAAATAATTAACTTAAATAATTTATTTTGCAACAATAATTAGAAACTCAAGTTTTAATTTCACGGTATTGAGAAATGATAATTCTTTTATCCCCAGCTTTTCGCTTTGTTAATATTTTTTGCACGAATTGATTATTTTAGAAAATTCGCAAGAAATATAAATAAATTCTTAAGTGTATTTTGCGAAGAAACTAAATCTTAATTTTTTTTCTCTTAAGCCTCCAGCTTCGCGAATATTTTTGTGCGAAATTAATTATTTTAATTTTCAAACTGAGAATCCGCGTATAAATATGTTTGACTGTATTTTAGCAAAAGATTAAGCCTTCGCTTTGCAATCATTTTCGCGTATTAAATTACTTTTATTTGAATTGATAAACCGGAAAAAGGGCTGTATTTTGTTAAAATATAGATATCAATCTTTTTCTGATATAAACATTTTTCACTTACCGGCAACAATCTTGCTTTGCGGAAATAATATTGCGCTCTCTCGTGCCATACAGCCGGTTGACAAAACCAAAAACGAATTAATGCAGTCTACCTGTTTACGAGAGAATGCACTTAAATTGACAACCGGTTGACGCGAAGTGTTGCATGTTTAAGCATGTTTTCTGCCGCGAAGTGGATAGACGACTGGTGAAAGCACCGCTATCAATGACAGCTTGATGTGATAAGGATATGCGAGGATACTTCTAGTTATTGACCGCCAGTGTTTCTGCACTTCTTCACGTAAGTGCGACATGCGTGTGACATAATCTAGGTTCAATGAGGCACTCATGCAAGTGACATAACATCCGATTGTATAAGAGATAACAGAAGGCTGCAGTTAGAACGACGAATTGCTTTGTTGATATTCGAAATTGTAGTGCAACGAAGTTTACACAAGATATAATTGCTCGCCTGTCGCACAATAGAAAAATAATAATGTCGAGACTTAACGATGTACATACGCCGATTACATCATCGAGATGTCAAACACGTTAACGAAGATTCGACTTCCTGTTCCTCATTTTATTGTCGTGGCCATCAACATATGATTACACGTGGTGCGAATCGTAGTGTAAATAATGGCACCTACATATATATAGCGTGATTATGATAACGCTGACTCTCTGAAGTGAACGAAGCCTAAGTGAAGGCTCGTCTAAAAAAAAGTGATATTATTGACAGCGGCTTATTTCGTGTTGAGTTTCATTACAGCATTTCAATTAGTATTTCAGCTAATCTGCCGTTAAATTTAATTCTTTTGCAAATTATCTCAAAATATACCGTGAACACTTGCAGCCATTCCAAGGTAATCTTAATGTAAAATGAGAATGACGACCTTCACAAACCTTCACAAATATCCTTCTGTGAACTTTTTTCGAGATGATTGAAATCTTGATTTGTCAGGAACCGAAAGCCATTATTCGGCACTCAGATCTCACGCTCGGCAGAATCCTTCGGATTTGACAACCAAAGTAGTCAGTAACGATTTAACTACACATGTGACAGGATTCGCCAACGAATTTTCAATATTTGCTCAACGATTTTATCATATTTGATCCAATACGTTCCCAACGTCTCCATAAAAATTAGTTTACAATAATCTTTTAATAATACAGTAATTTCAATTAACTATAATAATTTTTATTCATTATTATAATAGTCTTTTTATGCTCGGAACGGTCGTAACGAGTGCAAGAGTGAATAAAAAAATTAACAATACGACTGAAGTGTAACGTCACTGTGACATTAGCTTCAGTTTATGTGCGATCGCCGTGCGAATATAAATCATTACCGACCACCGTGTGTTTTGCAGGATGAGGAGGAGCGGCATGAACAGGCGAGGAGTCGGCGACAACGGCGAAGGAGCACTGGTTCTGCTCTTCGTCGCATTGACTCCTATTATCTGCTCCGCCGGAATCCTGGACCCTTGGCAGTGGGCGCGCAGCGATCGGATCGAAGTCAACATACCTTGGCTGCCTTGTAATTATCTCTCATCTTGAAGTATATATATAGCAGATTGTAAAAACCAAAATCTAGGAGCAGAGTGAGCAACTATTACGGAATAGCGCTTTTCGTTAATGATAATGCGATAAACATATTAAAATCGATTACTTTTCCTACCTTTCGATTTTGGCCGTATTATGTATCATTCGTTCACTTGCAAGGAGACGGAATTTTATAGATATGATAAAACAGATATAATTTCTTCTGTTTGATGAAGTAAAATTTGATTAAAAAGATTTATCATCGAAAAATGTTATATCTCACGTTGAATAAAATTCATTAATCTTCCAGTCGAGAATGAGACGCGCTGCTACGACGAGCTGGGCTGCCTGAATATCACCAGGAGCTGGTACCACCTCATTCATCGACCCCTCAATGTATTCCCGTTGCCGCGCGAGGTCATCAACACCAGATTCATCCTCTACACAAATCAGAATCCCTTGGACGTAAGTGAATGCCGTGAAGTTTGCCGCAAAATAACATTTCTCGATAGCGAGCGTATTGAAAGCGCGTACGTTGCGTCGGGCATAACGCAAAAGTGAAACCTGTACGTGAAATAGATAAAAATTTTTCTACTGCCGAGAATTTCTCGGCTAATATAATCTGGTGTAGCTGGTAAATACTTCCGCATGCATAACCGCGCACATCTAGAAATTACATTAACGCTCGTTAGATTCCATCTTGCGACAAGAATAATTGCACGTGGAGGCGCAGTCGAAGCGAAAAATGAATCGCCCTTCTCCCATTATCGCCCCCGTGCGATCGGTTAGCCGTCAGAATTTAATATTCGCGGATATCTTAATTAACTCGATTAATTGAAAACATCTGTGTTTCGCGGCGGGTAGGCGCGCGGTGTTGCACGCGTTTCGTTATTCTTACACATTCGTGTAGAGAGCGAAAGACAGAGAGAGAGATAAGATCTCTGATTTATAATTTAATGGATATTCCAAGAGGAAATTTTACCGCTGTGAGAGAACTATCGAATGCAATATCAGCGGCGTAATGTGCGCGGTGAAATCACATACCTATCACATAACTGCACATTCATACGCCTTCGCTTCACGTACAATCGCTAAGTCGTGAAATTAAAATAAATGCCTTTTTTTTTATGCGTTTTGTGATTAATTTGCCGACAATATTTATATGCAATCTCATGAATGTCTACGATAATGTGTACAATTTTTATCAATATTGCTTCCTTAGTAAACAGAGTGGGTCAAGGAAAACTTTCAACTTGATTTATCTTGCAACCAACTTACTTGTGCGAGAATGCCGAGGCACAATTCTATTTTCGAGGAAACTACATGGCTCATAAATTTCATTGAAAGCAAAATTAATCCAATTTATTAATAAATTATCGAATCGCGAAATAAAATTACACTCAGCAATATATGATCGCCGTTTTTTCAGGGCCAAGTGTTAAAAGTGGCCAAGGACAAATCCATCGGGAGCTCAAACTTCAATCCTAAGCGAAAAACTAAATTTATCATACATGGTTTTATAGACACGCCGCTCAGCAATTGGGTCAAGGTAATGCCACCTCACACTTTGTTATCTTACTTAAATAACTTTTTATTTTCTCGAATTTGATTGAGATCTCGCATTACACATACAATCGAATGATCGTACAATAATAATCGCACGTACCGGCATCTTGCATACGCCAATCATCTTCGGCCTAAACATCATCATCTATTGCGCGTTAGTCGCATTGGTAAAGAAACACTTTGTTACTTTGCATCATATTTGCGAGTAAATGTATTCGATCCGATGACACAGTTATGTTTGGTGACACGGACGTAGGCTCTTAAGCAATCGACAGACATTACACTCACTCATTTATTCTCGGAATATATCATCGCCTGTAGGAAATGAGGAACGAGTTGTTGGTACACGGTGATTACAACGTCATCGTAGTCGATTGGGCAGGCGGCAGTTTACCCTTGTACACACAAGCGACAGCCAACACAAGATTGGTCGGACTCGAAGTGGCTAATCTTATTAAGCACTTGCAGGTAAAAGATATATTTTAAGCAGATTGAATTTCTTTAGCTAATAGATATTTCTTTCTAAGCGATGCTATGTAGTATATCAACTTGACTATGATAAATTATTGTTAAAAACATATATTTAAAAAAAATTGCATAATGTTAATTACGTAACTGCGATATATCTTGAATAATAAATGCAGAAATTTATAACAATGCTAATGTAAGAATAATTTGCTCAGAATCAAATCAGTTTGATAATTTGCTTAGAATAAAAAGACAAAAGTTATTCGAAAGTTGTTCAAACTACAAGATGTTTTAATTCGACACTTTTTTTTGCGCTGAACTGTTCGAACCATTCGGATATATAATGTGTTCGAATCTTTTATCTAAGTGAGCTCTAATTTTTATGTCTTTCTTTTTGTTCTAAATAGACGAACTACCGCCTGGATCTAAATGATGTGCACTTGATTGGACACAGTCTCGGTGCGCACACAGCTGGTTACGCGGGCGAAAAATTGGACGGTAACATTGGTCGCATCACCGGCTTGGACCCCGCGGAACCATACTTTCAAGGAATGCCGAGTCACCTTCGGCTGGATTACACGGATGCTCGATTGGTGGACGTAATTCACACCGACGGGAAGAGCATCTTTTTTTTAGGTAAGAACAATACTCGATTGTGTGCGTAGTATTATTTCTATGGACTTATTGGAAAATCTCATGAAACTAAGAACGGAAAAGTTCGGTAGACGACCGTTTGTACAAACTCTAAAGATTGACTATTATTTTTCAACAGTTAAACATGTTGCAATTTGTTAAAAGAATTGAAAAAATTGAATCCGTCAGTTTGTAAAATCTTCCAGAAACTTGTAAAAGCAGAACTTTATATCCTAAAAATTGCTGACACTGAAAATAAATCGTAAAGATACGAGGAACCTTCGGATTAATAGAGCGAAAACTTTCTTTTTTATCAATAAAAAAAATTCATTTGCCTAAACAAGAAATTTGTTTGCTCGATTCGGAACCGTTCTGAATTCTCCAATGAATGAAACTTCGCCGTTCTCCGCCATCAATCACGTCATCCGAACTAACATAGTACACAACAAGGCCTTCCAGGTTACGGGATGAATCAGCCGTGCGGACACCTGGACTTCTACCCGAACAACGGTAAGGAGCAGCCAGGCTGCACAGATCTAAGCGAGACGACGCCGTCGCTGCCGCTGACTCTGATACGCGAGGGCCTCGAGGAGGCCTCGCGCGTTCTGGTCGCCTGCAATCACGTGCGCGCGCTTAAGCTCTTCATCGAGAGCATCAACTCCAAGTGTCAATACGTCGCTCACGAGTGCTCGAGCTACGCGAGCTTCCTGCGGGGCGAATGCTTCTCCTGCAAGAGCAACAATAGCCTGAGCTGCGGCGTAATGGGCTACCACGCAGACACCAGTCCGGCGCTGGTGAAGCGCCAGGCGATGGGGCAGGACGTCTCGTCCTTGCTGGGCTCGAAATTCTTCTTCATGACCGGCAAGGAGGATCCGTACTGCAGTAAGTATGGCGTTCGAGCCTTCGCGGTTCGAATCAACGAATAAGCTAATACTAAATATTTCACACTTATTTTTGCTAGCAGATCAAGAAGAATGTGACAATCAACCTTCGTTATATAAGAAATCTTACGAAGATTAGAAAGTCACAATTTTCTAATCATGTTGCTTCAATTGTTTAGAGAACTGCGCAGGATTATCGAGTCCACCGATCGACATAGGGCCGCAGTTTTATCTTAGAACGCTAACGAAAATGAAATTCAGTTTCAATTGTCTATTATCTATTTGCGTGCATTAGCACACAAGTATATATTGTTGAGTACATAATTTTCTAAGACGATAAAACCTTCCCCTTAACGCTAACGGACAAGCGTATTTTGGAATTAAAGTTTAACCGGTAATCGCTGACTTTCCCCAAAGCAAGCAATGCCTAAAAGCCAATGTCCACGATGCTAGAAATCGGTCCGAGATCTGAGTCCGAGAAATGTATAACCAATCAACTTGCATTTTTTATGGAAAAACGGCAATTTTATTGGCTATATGTTTCTCGGACCAAAATCTCGGACCGATTTCTAGTATCGTGAACATTGGCCTTAAGAACATCGTTGATTATTGGCTTTGCATTACAATGTCTTGTTATATCCTTAGAGAGATTTCTACATCGTAAAAGTCTCGAATGAGAAACATCGCGCTCGTGTTGAAACTGATTGTATTGATATACCACGAATAAATGTCCAGCATTATCAAGCATATTTAATCGATATATGCTCGTCGATTTTTCGCTCTGCGAATCGGTATATAAAAAAAATTAAAAATACGGCGAGTCGCCGTATTTCACTAACAAACACGAGCGCAATGCAGCTTTTCTCTATCGCGAAATGAGAGACTTTCTCCGCGCGTGATAAAAGCAACGACGCGTCTCTCTTTCTTTCTCCGCGGGTTCGTAATGCCGTCTGATATCGGTCGTAACGCCTTTTAGGAAGACATTACAGAATCACCATCAGCCTCGCCCGACCGCCGACTGCGGAGAGCTGGGTGCAGGGCTACATGAAAGTCACTCTTCACGCCGACAAGGGCGTGATACGCAACATGGATCTCACTCCCAGGTAACTGTTGCAGGCAACTGTTGCGAACGTTCTCGTTATCATCTCGATGAGCCGCGGTTGCGTCGTCTCGCCGCTGAAACCGCAGCTATTTTAACGCACGTGCCTCGCACGATCTTAAGCCGCGTACGAGCGGGCGAGAAATGCCGCATACCTCGCGCATGTTCCGCGCGAGGCATCGATCGCGCGCGGCTACGCTTAGCAAACGCGTGTAAACTGTTTACGACCGCGCGCACAAATCGTCGGCGGACAGTGACAGACGTGCGGGTTTTCCCGCCTCGCAGCCACTTTTAACGATCCCGTTTCTCTCGCAGCGGTAATATGAGACTGGAGCACGGATCGACGGTGCGGATGGTCGTCGCCCATCCGACCGGTTCCATCGGCAATATCGGCAAAGTCAGGCGGATCGAGCTCTCGTGGGAGTACGACATGGACGTACTGCAACCTAGATCGCTGTGCTTCTTCTGGTGCAACGACCGTTTGTATGTCAACAGCGTCAGCGTGGACGCTATGGATCTTCCAGGCAGAGGGTGAGAAAACAGCGTGTGCGGGAAGGAGATAGTTTCAGAAAAAAAAGGAAAACAATTTATTCAATTGTAAATCTTGCAATTTTTAAATCATTTTAATATTACAGAAACCAGGAAACCTTTTAATAGCGAAACTGAACTTTATACAAGTTCAAACGTACTTTTAAATTTAATGCACGGGAAAAATGTTGCATCAACAGCATTTGTCCAGCTTATCGTCCGACAAATGAATCTTGCTAATTCGTGAATTTTGACTCGTTAACAGCATTAATCAAATAAATAATTTATGTTCGCGTTTCAGTTATCGTTGAATTAACAAGATTCGTTCGATTGTTGTTGTTGCAATTATTTTTTCCGCTATTATCACTTTGATATTCCATAAAAGTCTGCATCGCCGATCAGAGTCGCAACATCATTCCTGTATATCTGATCTCGGTTCACTTGTTTAGAAAACGGGAGACGGATTTCTCCAGCAAGCTCTGCTCGACCAGCAGGCAGGAGTACGCGGAGATCGCGAGCGGGTCCACCGCCTCATTCGTCGACAATTGCTGACGATCCGTTCCGCGGCAAGGAAGCGCATTCAGGCGCGGGCCCCGCGTGCGGTAATTACAAAACGCCGACAGCTGCTTCTACCCGGAGGCGTCTCTCGAAAGTTGGACGATGATGAAGCGAAGTGGAAGGATCGCGGTCCGTCTCGTAATCTCGTAATTCCTTTCGCTGATGATATATGGCGGGAGAGGCGTTTTATATGTTTGGCTTTCTTCCTATTTATCGTGCGAGTGGTCCGTCGCTTTCTTCAAACATAGTGTGGTGACGCGAACTGCTAATTATGCCTCGACGAGCTTCGTCCGCTTCGGCCGAACTCGCATTTTGCGGACGACGAACTGAAAGTGCAATTCGCCGCTTTGTATTACAATATGCCTAATCGAGTTCCTAGAGATTTGTCCTGTCGAAGATTGAATTCTAATCGCGTGATGCGATTTCGACGATTGCGTAAGCATTCATAGAAAATAAAATTTTTTTGCGATCAGACATAGACCTCCAAGCGCGAGCACGCTTGTAACGAAAAAGCTTGATTTTTCGCTGCTTTTTTGATAACGTAACGAACACGATTTCTTCAGTATTAATATTATCATGTACATTGTTGTATATAACGTTAGGCATATCGTTAAAGCTAATTTCTTTTCAGATGTGATTATCGCTAGAGCTTGTAAGATCTTATTAAACCGCCGATCTATGCATTGTACATCGATCGTCTTTTTATATGATGATTGTTATTATTATCATATTGTCTTTCGCTATACACAGATAATGATAATAGCTTGTGATATTCTCTTATAACTTAAGAATCGGTGAAAATGTATAGATTGTAGTGACACAACGACAAACTTATATATTGCTATTTGTTTATAGTCTTTATAAATAAACTGTACAAAACATATAATGGAAGGCAATTTTTGTTAGTAACAAAAGTATTCTGAATTGTTTTATATCTATCTGTGTAAATTGTTGGAAAATAAAGTTATAAATGCAGTATAATACCATTACAGAAAAATAAAGTCGGGATACTTTCGTAAGAATTGTGGATATGATTTGTGTGTTTGGAGCAGTGCCTTTTTGGAGATCTCGGGGAGAAATCGAAGAAACACACTTATGACTACAGCTTGCTAATCTTTCGCAGTGTTTACTCCTCGATAAAACGCTTTACACGTTAATCCGTCGCTTATACAAAAAGATCATCGCGGAGCGTAGCTATACACGGTAACACATGATTTTCTTTTATCTTACACGAGATTCAACAATGATCGAGTAAAAAAGCCGTCCACGTTTGTTCGACGCGGTAACAAGGGATTGGTAAAATATATAATATGATATATAGCGATATACATAATATAATCTAATAATCTCTAATCTGTCATATAACGTAGAATTCTTTATAAATAATAAATAGGAAATAAAGGGAAACGGGTTGATCGATTAGCTTGGTAAGACTTTAGCACTAAATTACCTTTTACGAAGAACATTTATAGGAGACTATTGGGGGGAGAACCGGTGAACGATAGACAAACAAGAAAAGTGAAGATAAATTGAGAACAGTGAGAGAGAAGAGATAACTAACAATAGACATGACTATACAGCTGATTCATTTGGCATAATAGTCTAGAGCGGACTTTTTTCTAGCGCAATAGGATGCGGTCAGTGAAGATCATCGATCCAAGCGGTGTCTAACGTCTCGATGAGAGTACGGACGAAGGCCATCTCCTTCCGTGCGTTCTCTAGGATCACCCGAGGATCTTGTGACATGCAGCGTAACACATTCGGCGCCATCACCATCGCAAGATTGTTGGCGTCCATTTTGGTGCGGACGACCACCTCGGGTCTAGCAAATATCTGCAAAAATCGTTCAAATATCATAGCGAATAAATCAACGACGCATCGAGACGATTCGAGTTCACGTTATCGAGTGCCGTTGAGAGTGTATACAAAAATTTGAAATTGTACAGCTTTGTACGCGATGTAAGTGCGCGATGAAAATGGAGAGGAAAATTTCGCGAAACTTTCTCCCGCGAGACTAGACGAAACGCTCTCTTACCTGTAGGAAGCGTATTAGATGACATAGCACGCGACGATTAAGATCCGGCAAACGTTCAACGATCGCGGCGACATTCGCCGCGGAGGCTTCCGGATCGTCGTGCCGCATAGACACGCACTCCACGTAGAAGGAATCTGGTATTAGCGGCTCGTACAACTCGCGCACCCACAATTTCAGCAGAGAGGCGGGCGCGTGTGCGTCTTGAGAAGCTGCCAGTATCGCGCCGTCCTCGAACCTGTCCAAGCAGGACTTCAACGCGCTGACTTCGTCGGCGTCCGCCGACACCCGGAAGATACCCTCGGTCAATGTGCCACCACGTACCAGCACTTGGCGCGTCAGCGTCGTTTGTATCCATGGTAACTCTCTAAGCGGGAAACGATCCCTTTGTAAAGCCATAACTTCCGAGAGCGTAGCGCCGAACATGGACGCGCGGAAGATTTGTATCTGCGGAAAAAAAAGCACAAAGGTCAGACTCCTGGAATCGTCAAGTGATTGAAAATTGTTGGCTACAATCGATATTACCCTCGCTTGGTCGATATCCTCCACCGTGGCCTTGCGAGGTTGCCGTTTGCCATGCGCGCCGATCCGCTGCAATCGTCGGCAGGCTACGGTCGCGTAATGGCTAACTTGCACGTGTATCGGCCACTTGGCGACCTCGGGAAACTGGAAGTTCGGATCGCGATGTCGGTTCATGTAGCCTTCCAAGTAAGGCTCGAACGTGGCGCTAGGCGGCACGAAAGCCAGACACACAGCCATCAATTCCCATCCGCGTCGCAGGCTCTCCTTCCGCGGATTCTCCGTCGTTTGCCGGCAGATCTGAACGTACAGCTCGTCCCGCAGGGGCGGCTTCGTGAACGCGGTATTCACGATGTCCATGGCAACGCCGTCCAACGTCATGCCGACATTGGCCTTACGATCGCCCATGTACACCTGGACCAATCGAAATAAGTTGCAGGCCTCCCTCTTGAGCGGTTTCTCGCCGTCCACCATCGCGAGCATGGGCTGAGGTATAGGATCCTTCGACCAGCTGAGGATATCCCGCACGCTGAACTTCTTTCGAAACAACAACCTCAATCCTTTCGGTCTGCCGCAGTTCAGATTGAGATTGTCCTGCGCGTACTTCTCGATGTCGCCACCGCCCGTGCTGTCATCTCGCCGCACCTCTTCCAGGTCGCTGTTATTGACGCTCGTCGTACAGATGCTCGGAGTTGAACTCACAGTGGGCATGGAGACTTGCCTCGTCGGCACTACGCTGTCTCTCGTTTCCGTCTGAGACACAATGTTCGGCGGCGAGGGCGGTCGTGCTTGCGGCCTCGTTAGCGTGTCAGCAGTGGTGTAGTAAGTCACTAAGCCCGCAGTGTCATAATTTCCTAGATCTGATGTGAAAAGAAACGTATCACCGATTGACAATACGGTGCAAAATGGAGAAAAAAATTTAATTACCCGCATAATGATCCTCGAGATATTCTTGACTGGAAGAATCGCCCTGATTGCTGGCCGCTTCGTCGTCGGCGAATTGATCATCGGAATCGTCCTCGCCTCTCGCACCGATAGCTTCGCCCCTACCACCCTCCTCGTCCAAAGAATCTTCTCCTTCTTCCACTAACAAGGGGTCCCCGAACTTATAACAACCTTAAGCAAATAAAACAAGCACGTGTGGAAAACTGTAAAACCAGTTTTGCCATAAAAAGCTAGAATGTCGGAAAAATTGCCGGCTTATTACCTGATAATTTCGCTTGTTGAAGGATATAATGTTGCAACGGTAGTAGATGATCAGCGTCAGCCAGAAGATTGCCGTAAAACGGCGACGGTGGCGGACTGGGATTTCCGTTGCTTCTCTTCTTCTTGCTATCGTCTCCCTCGGCGTGACCCTCGGTTTCTTCGCCCGCGGCACTATTGCTGCTACTGTTGCTGCTGTTGCTACTGCTAGTGTTACTGCTAAGTCTCTGCCTGGACTGTTCGTGGGTCTGACTTATCATCAAGTAACGCTCGTGCATGGCGTCGTCGTCCCGCTCTCTCCTTCTAGCTTGCTGCTGTTGCTGTTGCTGCATTTTTTGCTGCTGCTTCTGCTGTTGCACGAAACTGTAACTGCGACCCAGCGGCTGCGGTACACCTTGCAAAATAATAATCACCCATATATTGCGAAACCTATATGTGCAAACGAACAATGCGTTGCAGGGAAATGATGAAAGAAGCAAAAAAAAAAGATTATCATCTCGCTTACAGTCCAGTGAGTTATTGCACGCTGTGTTTCGCCTGTACTCCTTCTCCCTATCTCGCTCTCTCTCGCGCTCCGCTGCCTCGAGACCTCCTCTCTGCTTCGACGAGTTGCCACCGTGCACGCCCGCGGTCCTGCCGAGGCTCTTCGCGGGATCGCTCCTCTCGGACAACATCGCACCGTACACGTCCCTGACATTCGCTTCGGAAAGTGACGCCGGGCATCCGTGATGCCTCCTGCCTATGCTACCCGTGTTATCTTGCGGCTGCTTAGTCATATTTCTCGGATGCATGGAACTCGGATAAAAGGCTGGCGGGTTGCTTTTATCGAGGCTGTTGACGCGCTCTCGATGATGCTGCTGCTGCTGCTGCTGCTGCTGCTGTTGCTGTTGCTGCTGCAGCTCCCGCTCTCTATCCCTATGGTAACGATTGCCACTCTCCATTAAGGAACCATACTTTTCATTCTGCGATTTATAACTATGGCTAAGTTGAACCTCCGGCGGACGATACGGCGGCATTTCCTGCCTGAAGACTCGGGATTCCATCAGAGAATCACGATATGGCGAGGTACTCGGCTCGGGACCGTACGAGCCTCTACTACTTTCACGACCTGAAATATTCGGAAATTCGGAGTACAGAGTGAATGTATGTCCATGATTTGCGCATACAAATTATGACATACACGTCACAACCGTGTTGTAAACAATTATGGTGCAATGAATAAGGTAAATGAATAAAGTGTTGTTATTTTTACCATTTTTACTCTTGTCCAGGTCCAAGTTTCCCGCCCTACCTTCGCGTTGCGGGTCGGTGAACGTCTTCTTCTTGAACAAGGGCGTGCTGGTCGAGAGCGACAAACCCAATGGCGGTGGTTCTCCCATTGACACGGACTTCTGATTCTTCACGCTTTCCAAAGTTCCGCTTTTGTGGCATCTGGCCTCTAGGGTGCCGCTGCCGTGCGGCCTGGGAGAGGATTGTGCGGTGCCCGCCGACGTTTGGGCGGCCGAGCGATGATGATGTCTGTGCGGCGAGTCCAACAAGCGATAACCGGTCGACTCCAATGAGGTCCTACTGTGCGAGACGGAACTGTCGCTAGATCTGCCAGAATCCTGCGAATGATTGTGTTGTCTAGTGCACGCCGCAGGCGCGTCATGGTGCCTGTGATGCCTGTTATTGTGATGATGATGATGATGATGATGTCGCCTTGATGACGGAGACGGGGATGGTGGGGAAGTCTGAAGATCGGCGCCAACTGTGCAAGTCCTCGTTTTGTTCGAATTACCGAGGGATAGAACTTGCTGCGAGAGAAAAGCGTAACCATGTAAAATCTCGAAATGTCAATATCGCGTTGAGATCGTGGTGGGAAAACTGTATATTTACCAGCGTCGGAGCCAGATTCGTGCTCTCCTGATGGTTAAATCGCGTCGACCGACTGACTGAAGGAGTTTGTGTTTGTGTCGAAACGGATTCCTTCTTTCTCGGTTCCGTTATCTTTTGAGAATCGGATGTGCTACAGGTTGCAGGCTCCGTATTCTGTTTCAAAGTCTACAAATATAAATATAAAGGACGTGTGCAGATAAATTGATGAATAAAACGTAACAAAATGTTAGTGGCAAAATACTATCTTTTCCAAACAATCGATTAGATATCGATTTTATCCGCGCAAAGTAGGATAGTAAAAGTGATGGGAAAAAAATGTACAACCATATATAAGATGACAAAATCGTAATTTACATTGTTTATGCATAATGTCAAAGTTAAATACGATCCCGTAAAATATATCAAAGGCTATATTTGTTCTATTTATAAACACACGGGTAAGCATATATGGGTCATCTAGCACTCATATTTTTGTGAAAACCTTTAAATAGATGAATAACATTATCATAAAAGTGCCTCCATGCTAGTATCATGGTATAATGTAAACCAGAGTTTTTTCTCCCTCCTACAAACGTCTATTTATAGCTGAGAAGAGAGCAGACGCGCTTGCACACTTATATCTCCAGCACTTCAAGATGCGTGAATTCCGTAATGTGTGTTACCCGGAGAGAGAAACTCACAAATCATTACACACATCCATAAAACACGGACGCGCGCACGCGAGCGTATGCCAAACTCGCGAGAGATTTTACGTGATTCATAAGTAAGTTACAGATCTTGACAGGTACCGTTCGAGTATGGGCTTATCTGTGTTACAACGCTCGATAGTTAACTTATCCAATATGACTCACATACGAGCGGTACGGAACGTGAATAAGGAGCGTTAAAATCATATCAGAAACCGGTGATATCAAATGTTTCCTTTACCTGAAGTTTCGCCAACGGTATGATGTCACAGTCGGTCGGGCGGTGCCAGACAGTTTTCTGAGATGTCGCGTTATAATAATAAAACCGCGAGGTATTCTGATCAAACAATTCCCACCATTGATTGTTGTCCGTTTTTTTCCTACGAATTGGTAAATGGAACATGTACTAATTTATTAGAATATATAAAATGTTTTAGTGCTTTCTCTAGAGTCGAGCTTTCTCTAAAATAATTATAATTGAACCGCGATATACCTTGAGATAATTAACTAATACATCCAATTAAATTAAGTGTGCCGAGTATAATCAGAGTATAATATCTGATTATAATAAGACATCAGATATTGATCTAGATAGCTTATAAAGTACAAGTGATATATTATCTCTCAAAACAATAAAGAGAGAAATATGCATGTATCCACTAAAGAAACTATTTCAAGAATTCATTTTACATTCAAAATGCACAGAAATTAATTGCCACTGAGAAAATGTGAGATATGTATAAAATATAAGTTATAAAATTTTGAATATAATCCTTGTATAAAAATTAGCTAAAATGTTAAAGAAATAATATGAAAAAATTGATATGCATACAAGCAAGTATATATAATAATTACTCGTCAATAATTTAGAAAAATATCGTACGTTTATTATTTACTAGAAGAAAAACGTTTTGGAAACAATTTTTTTCATCGATTATTTGGTAAAATGACATTTTTTTGTACTAGCTTACTGAAAAAATAATATGCATAAAGGATAGCTTACACTGGTACGCCTGGTGGTGGATCCCATACGCATTCTCCGGTGGTCAGATTGGCGTACATATGTTCCTTCGTGCGTGGCTCTATGATCTCCACCCATTCCATCCTACTGTAATTATCATCCATTAATATCTATTCTGGAGCGCTCTAATCTTCTGTGTATTCCGCGAATCTATCGCGATCGTGTCGAATAACCGGCGACAAACTGTATCAAATCTTACGCAACAGCCTTAAATCACTCTTTTCCCTTAAACTTTCACTTCTTACAGGCTACACGCCTTCGGGACAGTTTTTATCACTTAAAAACGACATGTGTAACGTACACTTCGAGCGATAAAATTAGAAGGCGAGATCGTTATGTCAAAAGTATCTCGAGTGCAATCTATAGATTGATACATTGTAATAATTGTGTGACCGATAGCGCCGTAGCTTCCATGTTTTTTTTTATTTTATTTATATCCACTGCACACTTTGCAATATCGAGACGTCATGCGATTTCTCCGGAATTAGAATTCAGGGTGGAAGAGGAAGGTGTTCGCATATTACGATATCAAGTGCGCATATATCGGAGGACTAATTGGAACGTCAGTTGGCGAACGATCGTGCAACGACTCAATATTGGAAAAAAAGTCGCCTTAATCACGGACTGACGGACAGAAGGGAAGACCGGAAAGAGGGAGGCCAAGGATCGCTCGGGATTCGTGGTGCGCGATGATATTCTCAACGGAGGCCAACGGAGCAATGATAATCGGGGCGAGCAAAGGAGGGTGTTTCGCCCGTCCTCCCACCCCACCGCACCTCACCCCCGCGCCGATGGACCCGACAAATTGATAGGAATGCTGGGCCGCGATGCAACGAGAGAGGCCGTCTGCTCTGATGTCATACTGCCCGTTTAATTGGCTGAAATAGGCCGCGGAAATTCATTCGCGCGTAGATCAAGAGCGTACATACGAAGCGCGCACGTTCGTCCGCGAAAGAAGAATGGATAGAGGAAAAGAGGGAGGCGGAAAAGGAAAGGAATAAAATAGAGGTGGAGGAATAAGAGAGAAGGACGGAGGAGCGGAAAAAAAAAACGAAAGCGCGATATCGAGAAGATCGCGATGAACGGTGTGCACGCCTGAACACGGACGGGCCTAAACGCGGACTGCGAAAAACGTGCGCGCAAGGGAGCGAGTGAGAGAGACCCGCCCAATCGTGACGAACGGCTAACCTCAGCGTGAACGAGCCGAGAGGAACAAGGAGCGCAGCGGGAAATCGCACGGTTATCATCAGAAAAATGACGGCGTTATCGTCTTTCTCCTCGTACAAAAGGAAAGAACGAGCAGAGAGGGAGAAGGAAAGTAAGGACGGTGGCAGAGGGAGAAAACTGGGACGGGTGACTGTAAAAAAAAATTCACTATCGATCTGCGGAACACCGTAGGTCCCGTGTGTGTATCGCGGCCGCGTTTTCCCTAAAGCAACCAAGTGCGCTGCACCTCAGGTGCAGTCGAGTGCAGTACAAGACAGACGGGCAGGTTTTTCCTGCCGTCGAAGCCTTACCCGTCGGATGCCATCTCGTGTGCCTCCGACTGGTCCGCCGTTGCTGTCGTTGTCGTCGTCGTCGTAGTTTTGTCCGTCTTCTTCACCGCTGCCGCCGCCGCCGTCGCCGTCGTTGTTGTCTCCGTCCTCGTCGTCGTTGTAACGCACGACAAGTGCAGTGCGGCGTGAAGCTCTACCACACTTTGCTTCTCTCCACTCCGCCACCTTTTCTTCTTTCAGCACGTCACCCTCGTCGACGATCACTACGCGCTTGACACTTCTCACTGAGACGACGATGACACTCGGATGTCGCAACGTCCCATTTCCGCGAGCGCGAGCAGCGACGCGGCCCCTTCATGGCAGCCTCGCAGCGGCCATCTTTTTTTCTTCTGTGTAGTTCGTGGTGGCCTGCACTGAGTGCACTGATGGTTGCCTTGCACTTTTTCGCATACATATATCTCATTGCACTTCGTGCCATCATATAAATAATTTATATTCACTGAAATTTGAAAAAAAATGTATTATTTCGTTACTCAAACATTCGAAATGTCAATCACAATGTGCAATCGACAATCATAATTATGTGATTATAAAATAAAGAATATTAATTTTTATTGAAATAAAAAAAAAAAACGCAAAAATTAAACATTAACATTTTTATATACCCTTTCTGCAAATAATATCTGTATTGTGTCTACAATATTTATCGATTGTTATTGCAAAAAAAAGTGTTTTCGCATAGTATCGCAAGGTTCTCGTGCGATACAAATGCGAGGTTAACTCTCGCGTACTGTCACATGTGTTCTGATGTGTACGATCATCTGCGGTGATTAAAAGTAAGAATCGTCACAGTTACACGTCAACCAGTTCCTGTACAAGTTTACGTGTGGCCACAATAATGGTTCTCGATTGTTTAATGTAAGGAACATCTCACTAACAGCGCATTAGTGTGATTCTTTTGCATGGTGTGTAATTAAAAATTTAATTTTTTCCTTTAGTGTTAAGAATTGTTTTCAATTTTTTTTCAATTTACTATTTTTTTCCTATCAAATTTTTATCAAATGAGATTTTAATTTCGTATGACGAAATTATCCAAAAAATAATTTAAAAGATATAAATTTATTTATTTAATTAGACTTAATTTTATTCATTAAACCTTGTTATATAGCAACTTATATAAAATATATAAAAATAATTTCTGCTTTCTTATCTTTTCTGATTAAACCTTTATCTTGCATAATGAAATTATTCATTCAACTTAGAGAATATATTTTTAGTTATAAAAAATTGCTAGTTAAATTTAAATTGTGTTTATTAAACCTTGATTATTATGGCAAGGTTGACTCTAATATTAACAAAAACATACTTTATATTAAAATATAAAATATGGAAAGTATTAAAGTCAACTTTTATTGTTGCAGAACATTTATAGATCAAGCTAGAGCATTTATAAACCTAGCTATAAACATGATCTTGATATTAGTTATATGTAATATACTGTGGATACTTGTCCTTTTGCCAATTTTATTCACAAAATGGAAAAAATTTTATGCAAAGAAGCGCGAGGAGAGACAGCAGAAAGGAACAGTTGTTGGAATCTTTCATCCATACTGTAATGCAGGTGGTGGAGGCGAAAGAGTGCTTTGGACCGTAGTGCAGGCTATACAAAATAAGTATGTGTTATAACATCTAATGTAAAAAAAAAAATGTATAATCTGTCAAATTTTAGAAGTACATATACTTTTCTCATCAATCATATTTTATCATTTGACTCATTCTTATTTGCATTGAAAACTTCCAGATATCCTCATGTACATATAGTGATATATACTGGTGATCTTGATGCTGATCGCGAATGGATTCTTGAGAGGACTGAAAAGGTGTTCAACATGAAATTGCGACCGAATATTGAATTCGTCTATTTGTATAAACGAAAATGGGTGGAACCTTCCACATATTCTCATTTTACACTGTTGGGACAAAGTCTGGGATCTGTCTGGTTGGGTTTTGAAGCATTGAACAGTTATATACCAGGTGACAATAAATTGTTTAATAGACGCATGCTGCTCTATAATTTCTATACACAGAGTGGATAAAAAAAAATACAAAATATTTATACAAATTGCAGACATATACATCGACACAATGGGTTATGCTTTCACGTATCCTTTATTCAAGTATATGGCTGGTTGCTTGGTTGGATCATACACGCACTATCCCATTATTTCGACTGATATGATAAGATATATCCATAAAAGGACCGTTGCGAACAACGATAATAGATTGATTGCCAAATTCTTACTTTTCTCGAAGGCAAAGATTCTTTACTATAAATTATTCGCATATGTGAGTATATAAATACAGCCTAATCGTTTTGTAAAAAAAATTATATATTAAAACTGTCGTGTTTAATAGCGGATCATTTCAGTTGTATGGATGGATGGGCCGTTGCGCCGACATCATAATGGTAAATTCGACATGGACTGAGGATCATATCAATTCTATCTGGAAATGCCCGCTGAAGACACACCGAATATATCCCCCGTGCAGTGTAGAGCATTTGACCGCGTTGCCACTTCTCAGTGACGAGGAAAAGGGCGATCACATACGAATAGTGTCGGTCGCGCAATTCAGGCCGGAAAAGAATCATCCGCTCATGTTGAGGGCGATGTTCGAATTAAGATCAATCCTCAAAGAGGAACTCTGGGAAAAGGTGAGCTCTAATGATTTACCACGACGTAGGGAATACATTTTATAATCGATCGTACTACTTAGATCAAATTAATTTGCATCGGTTCCTGTCGAGACGCCGAGGATGAAGCGCGCGTCAAAGATTTGCAAGACTTAGCCAAGCACCTTGCCATGGAAGATAACGTCGAGTTCAAAGTGAATATACCGTATCCCGAACTCGTGTCGGAAATGCAAAGAGGAATGATCGGTCTGCACACAATGTGGAATGAGCACTTTGGTATCAGCATTGTGGAGTGCATGGCCGCGGGGCTGATTATGATAGCCCATGCTTCTGGTGGACCAAGGTGCGTTTGTTGGATCCACTTCCGGAATTATTCGCGCAATAAGATTCACGCAAAACGATTTCCTTTCAAAAACGTATTTTACGATTTTAGGGCAGACATCATAGAAATGCAAGAGGGTTGTGTGACCGGTTTCCTGGCGCAGGACGAAATGGAATACGCTGAAATAATATCGTACATTGTACACATGCATCCAGACGAACGAAGCGCTATTAGAATTGCCGCCAGGTAAGAATAATCAAATAGATGTTCGTAATCTTGTAACAAAATGAGGTAAAAAGGAATTTCTATGTAAACTTTTCTTTGCAGATCGTCTGTAAATCGTTTCTCAGGCCAGCTCTTCGAAAAGGAGTTCCTACGGACAGTCGAACCGCTTTTTAGAGAAAAACAAGAATAGTTTTGTAATAATTCTCAAGAGTAAATTTTTTACAGATACGTGCGTGTAAATAATCCATTTCAAAATCGGAATGCACTTTGAGTATACATATTATATTAAACTGTACGTGTATGTATATAAGCAAGAATGTTTTCTACAATGTGATGAGTCCGTGCTCAATCATTTAGAGATGCGAAAAACTCTTTTCTCATGTTTGATATCCGTTAATTTTAAGATACAATGCATCAAACAATTGTGATTTAGCAAACAAATTACAGTGTATTGTATAACGCAATTACGAATGAAATATATTTATTTTAATGTTTTCAATATTTGTATGAATTCTAGAAATATCTAAGAATATTAAGAATTCATGTACATATGTGAGAATGTTGATGTTAATGTTGCAATTTATATGTGATGATAAATGGAAAAATCAATTATTTGTTAATCAATATACTTAAGTCGAAATTGTTAATCACAACGATAAATTAAGATAAAGCTTCGTATAATCATTGTTTAAGACTGTCGTTAATCAGTCCACATCCTTGACACTCTAGAACGTAAGACGAAGTATCCCCGCCTTCGGCGCTTTCCGACAGATTGAAAGAAAGTCCGCGTTTACCTAACATCATTTCCGCAACCTGCATGGCAGTCTCCGTATGGCAAGTGAGCTTCTTGTCTCCGACTTTAATTCTCGAAGTGCCCTTCGCCAATGCCATTAAAATTATCATCTGTAATAAATGATTTAAAATAATTTTTAAACGCAATAATTTGAAAATTGAACGTCTTTTCGGAACTATGATATGCTTACCTGATCCTGTATATGTTCGTCGACACAAGCTCCTGTTAGCAGCGGTTTCAAGATTTCATTAGCTGCTATGTCACCTGGCGGTGTTTCCTCACGGCGCCCAGAGCCTAAACCAGAGCCGCCGAGAACGCATCCGGTACTAGTGTTGCACACTATACTGATATTCATTCATATTTTTAAAATTTTTTATTTATACTTAATGTATAGAATTTATAAAAGAACTTTAATAATTTCTTACTTAATACCAGACCCGTTTCCAACAGCCATCGCTCTATCCTCCCTGTAAGCTTCGATTGTAACTGGTGGTACTCGAATGTTGTGTCTTGCTAATTTATTTGTTAAAATAGTTTTTGCGTCGTTGGCCATTTTATGTGCTTCCTATAAAATAAATTGTTAATGATACAAAATTTGTTTAAAGTTTTCAAACAAATGAATGACATACATTTATATTAACTGCTCCGGCCACGTAAGACCATCCTGTTATTCCTCGCGGAACTCCGAGATCAGTTAAAGTAACTGCATTTAAGCTACTGATCGGTTTTATGCGTAAGTGCACCTCACCTCCTCCCTTTGGATAATACCCCCTCCATTTGTTATTAATTTTAGTATAAATCATGTAACATGGAAAATGTCAAGATCAAGTACAATTAGAGCTGAATATATTATATACCTCCGACTAATTATAAAATCAAAGTCTGCTCCGAATTTATTTAACACTGGCTTGAACACTTCTGTCAGATATTCTATGTGAGGGCCCATAGGAACGTTTGTACCACCCTTAAGAATAAGTGTGATTGTGTCATTACAGGGAAAGAACAGAGCACATGGCAGAGCTACTTGAGCCAATAAGCAAATACATCCAGCGGTCTGTGTGTCTGCTACAAACTCCCTCTTGTTCTTATTTAATGGACCAGGACGAAATTCCAATCGTGTTGATCCTACGTATCCCCCTCTGACTTGAGCATTACACATCTCTTTGACTAGTTCCATGCCTGTAACAGTACGTAAAATTGAAATTTTTATATTTTACATAATTACAATGAGCAAATATCAAATCTTATTTTTACATTGTAATCATACCTTTCAAATGTTGGGCCGCAAGACCAGGCTTAGGTCTTCCAGCGCGTATGTTTTCAATTTCAATGGGGATTCCGTAAAGTGTGCTCAAAGAAAGGGCAACTCTCAACACCTGTCCACCCTAAATAAAAATCAAAACATTGCACTTAATTAAAAAATAATAATTTTAGGATTTGTGCGTATAAGCCATTTATATTGGCTAAATAGAAAGTAAACTTTACAGTGTAAAATATTTCAGACATCAAATATATCTAAAACTATTTATAAAATACACACAGAGATAAAATGTTTGAAATACTGCTCATGGTTTGAGATATTTATCACATTTAAACATATAACCTAAAATTATCTTACATCAATGCAAAAATTACAACATTTGTGGATTATTTCCCGTGTAATACTTACTCCTTCACCCAAACTGCCGTCTATTTGCACGAGGGAGGACATGCCGCGACAGTTCCTGAGCATGCAAGCCGTTCTATAATGCTCTATAGATTAAAGGAGCAACCGCTCCTACACTGGTTCCGTGTTTATTTTCAGCTACAGATTATTCCAGCACTTCGTGGATTTCTCTGCGGAAAAAAAAAGAGTGTAAGCCGTTGTCGTTCGGGAAGACAGAGCGGGGAGGCATTTACATCTAACTATAGAATTTTGCTCGCTTGCAAAACTCGTCGGCTCCCATGTGATCTTCCATTTTAACGACCGCGATCTGTCAGTTTTTGTTTTTGTTTATATATAGCTTAAAATACTTCATAAGAGATAATAAATTTTTTTAAAATTATTATTTAATCAGATAATTAATACAAATTTTGAAGTACACGTTAGATTTTATTCCGAAAATAATATGTAATTATATGCATTATTTTCTTATTACGGTTTACGCGGAACCGGATCTCCATTCTGTCATCACTGTAAAGGTGTATCCAGAATCTAGATATACCTTATGCATCTTCTCAGAGACCAATCCATTTTCTTATACGTATGTGCTATGCAAGTTTGTATGGATATACTCTAAATCAGGGTTAGGAACCCGAGCATGCGAGAAAATTTTGTTGTTACGCAAAAAATTTATCGTACAAAATCAATTTTATTTTAATTCCTTCAAATCATCTAATTCAAAATAATATTTGAACATAATAGTTTTAAAATTTGAATAAATATTTAGACATTATTAATATTATTAAAACAAATGTTGTTCTTAATTTATAAAAATTTAGTTTTTTTTAATAATACGTGCCTTTGGCACGTCATCCATTGTTATATATTTTTTTAATTTTTTGGCGCTTAAGCACAAAAAGATTCGCCGTCCCTGCCCTAAGAAGTGCAAGCCGTGCAAAGTAACTGAAGTAAGTTGAATGACACATGTACATATACATACATAAATAATCAATGAAATAGAGTTTATTTAATCGAGTATTTCATCCAAAAAGTGAAAATCAAAGGTTGACACATAGTTTGAGAGGAGTGACATGATTTTAACTCTATATTTCATTCTTATCAAGCTAGAACAAGATGTAGGCTTACAAACCAACTATCTTTCTCAGTAAAGCTTTAAAATACGAACCTGTCAAGCTTTCGGTTTCATTTTCTATCGTGCCGAAAAGTACTGTGTGATGCAAAAATGAATAAATGCTTGGTCCATCGTATTATATATATATATATTTGAAAGCCGCAGTCGCGCGTGTATGAAGGCGGTGGAGGGCGAAGGGCGACAATGCGTCGGGTTCGGCGGCGGCGCGGCGTGCTGTGGTATGTCGACCGATCACGGTCCGTGCGCGATATAAAAGGGTGATCTGCGTTCGACATGTTCCACCGGCGATGCGGACATCGTGTCACTTTCAGCAACAACAACTGCACGGCCACGCGCAACTCCTCCGAGTACAACCATGGTCTGGTGTTCAGTCTGGAGCCGCTCCAGGATGACGCGGTGTTTGAAGTCACTATCGACAAAAAGGTACACACACCGCCCCCGAGAGATGCTCGCGCGACCGCGTGCGCGTCCCGCAACACAGTGCAATATTTCTGCATCTATCAAGTGGCTCGTTATTTCACACAGCTAGAACAAAGCTCAGTATCGATGCAAAATAATTACAAAATATGAAATACAAGTGCAGTGTTGTGTCAATAAATATAACATTCTATATTATTCATTTCATCTCGTTAAAAGCTTGTGTTTGTTTTATTTCTCAAATTGTGTTGGTTTCATTTCTTTGAGGGTATATTGCAAGTGGGTGCATTGCTTGTTAAGAAAACTTACAATTGCATATTTTTAAGAATTTAATATTGCCACTATTGATTATGTTTATTTCTGAAAATAGTATATGTATTTTAATGTTATGCAGGTGAGAGCATGGTGCGGCAGTATAGAAATTGGAGTAACGGAATGCGATCCAGAGACTCTGGAAATACCATCATGCGCTATAAAGCTTCGCCATGGATCGTGGATTATGACTGGCTCTGGCATAGTTCACAATGGAGATCGAATTGTGGAAATGTACGGCACGTACGATTTAAAAGATCTGAAGGAGGGGAATACTTTAGGAGTAATGCGGACGTCCAATGTAATTCGCAATTTTTTTAATTGTCTTTATTACTGTAGATATTGATTAATGATAATGGTCTGTCTGTGATTATAGCATGAGCTGGTATTCTACATAAATGGTGTTTCGCAAGGCGTTGCTGTCAGCAACATTCCGGAGTATGTTTATGCTGTTATAGATATGTATGGTAATTGTATACAAGTCAGCGCATCTCATCCTAGACTTGCCGCCTTGTGTAACGTGCCGAAAGATGAAGTCGAGATTAATAATGATTATACTATGGGGGAAACCTCCAGTTCCTCAACAACAAATCTAGTCGCTAACTTAAACGTTAATTTAAGCGTCAATGTAAATGTTAATTTGCCGAAAAATCCAACTCCCGCCGCTATAAGAGAAGATAGATTAAGATTTCACGAGAGAGTCGGAACGTTGGTGAAATTGTCCAATAACGCGAGAGTTGCCGAGAGACGGAGACCATTGGATGAATTTAACAATGGGGTTGTAATGACTCACAGACCGCTACGGGATAACGAATTGTTTGAAGTAAGCAGCCAAATACGCATATATAAAATTAGCTACTAGCTGCGAGATAGCATTTATACACAAATTCCGATAGCAATCGGTAACGAATGCAATTTCTTCGCTATTGTAATTTTACATCAAAATCATTTACACTGAATTGCAAACTATCACTTGGCTGTTACAGATACGAATAGATCGGCTGGTTTACAAATGGTCGGGCAGCATAGAAGTCGGAGTTACCACTCACAGCCCAACTGCGCTAGAATTTCCGGCGACGATGACAAATATGCGCTCCGGTACAACGATGATGTCTGGCTGTGGTATTTTAACGAACGGCAAAGGCACGCAGCGGGAATACGGAGAATTTAACTTAGACGAATTGAGAGTACGATGAAGCCAAAATCATAAAAAAATGAATCTACATTCTTCTTTTTCTTTCAATACTTTATTGCATCTCGTTCTTTTTAGGAAGGAGACCGCGTGGCAATGATCAGGCACAGTAATGGAGATCTTCACTATTTAATAAATGGTCTGGATCAAGGTATCGCTGCCAAAGTACCCACCGGAGTGTGGGGCGTGATAGATCTCTACGGAATGACCGTGAAAGTGACTATTGTCGATCGCGACGAAAGGGAAGAGCAAAATCTAGTTACTAGAAGAAACACGTTGCATTTGCAGGGTCTGGATAGTGAAGGTGATCATTTTTGCTAATTGTGAGAAAAATCGATTCTGATCTAGCAAGAGAATCGTTGAAAAATAATGCGCGAAAAACTGTGGAAAACAAACTCGACACGCAATAATCCCACGATATTAGAAATTATAATAATGCTCTTTGTAGAAGTTGGAGAAGAGGAAGTACCTGACAGGCTGCTGTTTCATCCTTGTTGTGGCACACACGCTGATGTGATCAACAACGGGCGTACAGCGCACAGGCCTAAGTAAGCGGAGATTCGTTACGTTTGACAGATTCCTTGAAAGCGCACATCACTTTTTAATCAGAGACATGAATCTTTTGTAGTGCCATAGATGATTTCAATAATGGCGTGGTATTAACCTCGAGACCGTTGAAGCCTAATGAATTGTTTGAGGTGCGGTTGGACAAAATTGTCACCAAGTGGGCTGGCTCCATTGAGATAGGAGTCACTACTCATTCTCCGACAGAGCTTGAGTTTCCATTTACCATGACAAACGTTAGGTAGGTAAGGACGTACGTCAGTTTTAAACAATTGTATGTGCAATCGCGAAGAGAAAGAGAGAGAGAGAGACATGTGCGGTGAGTTGTTTATCCGCTTATGTTATTGCTCGAAGGTGGTTCTTATTGTTTGCAGATCTGGCACGTGGATGATGACGGGCAACGGCGTAATGCACAACGGCACCACTATGATAGATCAGTACGGTCAGAATCTGGACCGGCTGCACATCTGGGACCGCGTGGGCGTAATGCGGAAGGACAATGCAACGCTGCATTTCTACGTAAACGGCGCGGATCAGGGAGCGGCCGCGATAAACGTGCCGGAGAGAGTCTACGGCGTTATCGATCTCTACGGGCAAGCCGCCCAAGCCACCATAGTGGATAGCGTGGACTTCTACAGTCCCACCACGAATAATTCTAGTTTTAGCAATACGACGTTGTACAGGTACGAATTCTTAATGCTCGGTGCATCTCGATATCTCGTACTGGCTCACGATTTTATTGTCCATTCGGATGATGTATAATTTATAGAAATATTATGTAAATCTATCGACAGCGATCTAAGGTTTCATCATGTGCACGGTAAAAATGCACGAATCACAAACAATGGTTTGACGGCGTCCAGGCCGCGAGCTTTAGGCGAATTCAACGAGGCCATCGTGATTGCGAATCGCGCGCTACGCGACGGTGAGATGTTCGAGGTGACGATAGATAAGATGGTCGCCAGATGGTCTGGCGCTATAGAAGCAGGTAACCGCCGCGAAATGTTTAGTTATATTTGTTCAATATAGTGAGAGTTTTTCTATGATTTTTTTGATGACAAAATTGCTTAAAGGTGTTACTGTAATAAAACCTGACGAATTGGAGTTTCCATCTACAATGACGGATATTGATCACGACACGTGGATGCTTTCCGGATCGACGGTGATGCGTGATGGTGTCTCGTTGCGTAATAATTACGCCTGTGATCTGGATAAATTGGTGGAGGGCAACCGAATCGGAATGATGCGATGTTCAGACTCTTCCTTACATTACTTTCTGGACGGCGTGGATCAAGGTTCCGCGTGTACGGGTTTACCGCCAAACGTTTATCCGGTGATCGATTTGTACGGTCAATGTGCACAGGTATGACAAACACACTTGCCTGATAATAATCTACTACTTGAAAAAAAAACCTTGAAAATCTGGAATTCTTTTTTGCCTGAAGAAATTTAGAGATTTGAACGAAAATGCTTAAAAACTTGGAATTTTTTTCCAAAATCAAGTTGAATAAGACCAATCGTGCGTTTTAGCATATCAATTCCAATATATTTATTATCTATCTCAGGTGACGATTGTGTTGCCTGAGCGCCGAGATCCTCTGACTCAACAGTATCTGCCATCGGAGAACAGTATTAGTCAACAGCCGACCTCAGTGATCCAGCCTCAGGCGCAAACGGAGATTTTACACAAGTTCCACGAATCGGTCGGGTTGAACATTCAGCTGAACAGCGATAGAACGGTGGCGACCAGGTGCAGAGAGTACAACAACGCCGTGCTGTTGAGCGAGACAGCGCTTGAAAATAACGAACTATTTGAGATCGCCATTCAGGAGGTAGCGCGCGAGTGGAGCGGTTGTTTGAGGATAGGCGTCTTGAGTCACGAGACAGGCAACTGGCTGACATCGATGAACCTCGTGCCCGGCATGACGTCCATTCCTGGCGACGCCTGGTACTTGACCGGCAACGAAGTGAGACACATGGGTTACGCACTCGCCTCCAACTATTGCACAAGTCTGGATTGGTTGCGCGTGAAAGACAAGATCGGTGTGAAGCGCACGCACGAGGGCAATCTGAAGTTCTACATAAACGGCGAAGACATGGGCGTGGCGGCATTCGACGTGCCAGAGATGGTGTACGCGGTTATAGAGCTGTTCGGCAGCACCGTGGCCGTAAACATCACCAGCAGCAAGCAACAAAACCCCGCGATATCTCCCAATGCCAGTTTGAGGCTGCAGGATTCGCTGGAACTCGTGCTGGACCCGATGCCGCTGAGAAACGACGGGGTAATGGACACGTCTATCGACGTGTCCGAGGGAAAGCTGATGAACGAGACGACGCTGACGCCGACGCAGCCCGCCGCCACTGTCCCGATCGCCAGCGACGGCGATTGGATCTACGAATTCCACGAGAATCACGGCAGGAACATTCAGTTGGAAACGATGACGATCGCCAGACGGGTGGCGAGTTATAATCAGGGCGTGGTGATGTCCAGTCGTCCGTTGATAAAGGGCAAGCCGTTCCAGGTGAAGATAGAAAAGCTGAACGAACGGTGGGTGTCGAATATCCTCTGCGGTGTTTCCTGCATAGTGCCGGAGAAGCAGACGAGCTTTCCGCTGACGGCGCTGGGCTTCAAGAAGCACTCGTGGATCATCTGCAGCGACTGGATATTCCACAACGGCATGCGAGTGAAGACAAAGTACGGCGCCGGCCTGGAGAATCTTCAATGCAATTCGACCGTGAGTCTGCTGATCGACGAGGACAATCGGCTGCACCTGTTCATCAACGGCGTGGATCAGGGTGTGGCCGCGACTGATTTACCGCCGTACGTCTTCGCCGTGATCGACTTGTACGGACAGTGCGAGCAAGTGTCTATCACGGGACTCAGCGAGGAGTCTTCCTACGCGAGCGTTGCTATCGACAACGCGCTAACGGCTCCCATCGAGTGCGTGAGCGTGGAAACGGAGGACGTGGAAAATTCGCGCGAGAAAGCCGATTTAGAGTGTCACGAGAAGGAGAACGCGATGGCAACCACCTCGTCGGACCTCTCGCCGTCTTCGACGTCTCCGAGTGTGCCGAGCCAGTGCAGCTCCAGCGCCAGAGACGGCAATCTCGAGGCTGAGTACTTGACGTTCAGCAGCAACAATAGCGCGAATCTAGCGAACAACAGTATAGAGAACAAAGCCACGGTATCGAGTATCGACAGTAACAACTCGGACTCGGGCTCCGAGTTGAGCAACGACGCGCGAAGCGCCAGGAACAGAGCGTATCCGGACAACGCCGGACCGCCGTTGAACAACCAATCCGAAAACAACTCGAGCGAGTCGAATCTCGACGCGGGCAATCGCGCGCTCGTTAACGTCTTAAGTATTAGAAATGAGTGTACAAACGTAGAAATAAACAACGCGACGAACATTAATATACAGAAGGGCATGGTTGCCAGCGCGAGCAACATGACTAATCTGAGCGCGGCGATCACCGCGACGAATGCCAACAACGCGATTAATGAAAGCATAGCGTCCAATAGTCAAGTGAATAGTGTAGGCGGCGCGCAGCCGAACAATCTCTCGGATCTGCCCAACAATGCTTGCTCCGGCTTCCACGAGTCGCGCGCACCGTACGCGGATCGCGACAACGCCGCGTTGATTCGCGACAACTCCTTCAACGGCAACGTCGTACCTCCGAGCCAGAACACGACGGCGATCGCGCCGTACAACGCGTCCTCGATAACGTTGATACCGTCGTTACCGTCCACCCCCCTCGGGTCCACCGTCGTCACGTCGTCGCGCAAGTGCGACTATCTGAAGGCGTGCATGCAGCTGAAGAAGTCGCTTGTGCTGCCGGACGAGTTCTTCTCCGCCGACGAGATACTCTGCTACTGCAGCGCGTGTTACAAGGTGGACGGCGACAATGCGATCTGTAAGAAGGGCGAGCCGCCGGCGGAGTTTGCGATACCGATCGGTTGGGCCAGGTTCCCGTTGAAACAGAGCATCAATGCCAATCAGATTCCGCAGAGCACGACGGACAAGTGGCACGTTGCGTTCTACGGCATACGCCTCGACGCAATAAGGTAAAGCGCCGCGAACTTTCAGTCTCAGAACTATCGCTCTCTCGTCATTTTGTCGTATTTAATATACATACCGCCCGCTTAGGTTGATCTTGGACAGAGGAGAGCTTATGACCAAAGAGCAGCTAGACGTGAACAACTTGACAGCAGGTGTAAAAAGTGAGGATCAAAACCCCCAAGTGTCGTTCTCGCCTAGCATCAAGTACGCGGCATCCGATGAATTCACTAGAAAGTACCCGTAAGTACTCGATGATTTTCCACGTTTTTTTTTTTTCTGTGTGCATCTTCGTTTTGCTGGATGCTAATCTAATTTGCAATCTCGCAGCTACATCGATACGCAATCGAATAAGAAGCTGAACGCATCGACGGTGTTTCAATTGTTGGTGAGACCCGGTTCTTACACGATCAGTCCCGGCGACAAGGACGGCACCGATCCGCACTGCGAATCCAGCAAGTGGGCGACTAAGGAGGCCGGCGCCACGGTAATCGTCGCTCTTCTCATCCGTCTGGACGGATTCTAATGCGCGATCGTTCCCGAAAGTGTTGTGCACACGAACTTATTTCACGCTGCCTGCATCAGACACACCCACGATCGGATTGTGAGTAATTGTACATACGACGTGCCCGATCGTTAACATGACTGTGGTAAGAGACTTTCGAAATTGATATTTCAATTCCGTCGAAATCGCGCTGTATATTTACGTTAAGTCGCGCGAAGGTTCCGTCGCGTGCGTTTAGTAGTTTAAGGATTTTGTCGTCAGACGTTTGTGTGCTAGAGATTAATTCGCGTTTCAGTTACCTTTTACCGCAGCGTTTAACATGTGTACAGTACGGATAATTGTGCAATAGGTAACGTTCGTTAATTTATGTGAAGAATCCGCTAGGAAAATTATTCGCTAAAAATCCGCTGTGCTTAGTTATAACTCAAGTGATATATTATAAAAGACTTTTAACTGAGTTTTAAATGTTTTAACGTACACGCGTGTCACATGTTCGTCGCTAGAGTGGCCTAGCTTAACGCTCACAAGAACAAATAATGTACGAAATATATTGCCACAGTGAACGTATTCGCCACTTGAGCGGAGAGAATATAGTATTTTTGATGCCAGTTCCACGCTTAACCGACATACCAAATCTTTATCGCATTGCATGTAAAGAAACCTCGAGACACGATACAATTTTTTTAACGCACTCTTCTGCAGCATCGATAGAAAGGGAAGTCTTGTAATATGTCTATGTTGTAGAAATAAATGCAATGCGAATGCAGCTCGCATTGTCAACACCACGAAATGTGTTTCATGAATTGACGAATGTTTTTACATGACATTTTTTTTTTTTTGACAAGGAAATCTCTCATTGCAGAATTTATGCAACCGCACGTCGCAGGTATTTACGCTATCACGATCGTAGATACATTGCTGGTGGAAAAATACGAAGAAACATTAATAGACGTTATTTATAGAATGGAGATTTATTTCTGATACACAGAATGGATTCAGAATTCATATCTCAATAAAACACTCGTGTACTTTGTATTATTCAGTTAATAATGCAAATTGCAAACGGAAAGAGCATTTTAATGTACATTAAGATATGCCGTAAGTATAAGTGAAATGCAATAGCTTGTATATCGATAAGAACTTAATTAACAAAAGTCGCTGTACAGATTTCATGCGAGAAGGATCGATCGGCTTTTAGCATGAATACATTTCTGTTGATATATTTTGTTCAGGATTCTCGTCGATTGACAGCTCTGGCGTGTGATAAATTATGTGTGCTTTACACCCAAATTCGAACGTTCTGATCCCAGGAGCAGCTAGCCACTGCCATTCCATTGCCGGAGACGCTAAGTGATGTCACTCTATTCTCATGGCCCGACAAGACACCTTCGAACAACAACAATCTTTTGATTAATCAGCATTGATAAGCATCTGAAAATCACACGCGAAAATGCGATCGATAAGACGTAACGAAATCAATAAATGGATAATATTTCTCTTGCGAAAAATTAGTCGACTCACCGTTGTGTTGGTTCTTCAATGCATCCCATATGTGTATGGAATTGTCATCACTGCCGCAAAATATGAATCTGCCGCTCAGAGATAAGCCGCACGATGTAAATCCGGGATTCGAGCTCGGCGGCTTGAAGGTGGCTAATTGCTGATCGGATCTGAAATCCCACAGTCTCGCCGTCTTGTCCTCGGAAGCTGTTACGAAACCTTGCCCGGAGGGATGATACTAAGAGTGCAAAGCGGCGGCGATTGAAAGATACAAAATGGAATTTTGCAGCGAATCTGCGAAATACTTCGCAGAACGATGAAACTCACGCAAACGGAATTTACGTCAGCTTCGTGGCCGAAGAATGTTTGCTTGGCTTTCTCCTCCCGCAAATCCCACAGCTTGCAAGTCTTGTCGACGGAGCCGGTGACGTAAGTGTTGCCGTCGGGCGACAGGCTGATGCTCACCACGTCACCCGAGTGCGCCTCGAAGTCCGTCGTCTTCTTGTTGGCTTCGAGATCCCACATGCAGCTAAATACAAGGATGTTCACCGTCGGTAATTACTCACGCAATATCATTCTCGTTACCTGTCTACCTTCAACGTTACGTAATCGAATACATTTTCATGTCACCAGATCCGGTGATGATCTTTTTATCGTCGAGGAATCGGCAGGACGATAGGAATCCCTCGTAACCCAGCAGTTCCCGCACGATTTTGGCGGACCCCGTGGCGTCGCGGTTGTTCACGTCGTAGACGGTGCACATGTTATCCATGCCGCCGCACGCGACAAAATTGCCGGACGGCGCGAAGGCCACCGACATCACCCAGGCCGACCGTAACGGGATGACCTGCACCTTGTTGCCAGTCCATGAATCCCAAATGATCAATTTCCCATCCAACGATCCAGTCACGCAGTGTCTACGGATGAAACTTAACGATTGATAAGAAAGCATGATAAATTGTCAAAGTTCCGATCAAAGGACAAATGTTAGGCATGCTTGCGGCTCGACAAACTGTCGTGATCAGAGAACTATTACTCGCTAAAACTGACCGATTATCGCCACTGTAATGTACCGAGTTGACCTTATTGATATGGCCCTTCAGCAGCTTCTTAGTTGATAATCTGACTTTCGAAGCGTCTGCCACTCCGCCACACGCTTGCTCCAACGTTGTGTCCTGCTGTTTTTTTTGATCGTCCTGAATGAAACGGATAGAATAAATTGCGACAAACTCTTATAACGTACTTACGAAGTATAATCGCATAAGGTAATTATTATAAACTAATCAATTGCGATAAACTGCTTAAACCTTGCATTTGTTGATGAGATCTTCCAATTCTTTCTTCAGGGCTATTGTTTCAGCGTCGTCTTTGCCCATTTTTGCCAATTAAAAGAACGGCACAAGAGTTTCGCCAGAATAACGTAGATATTAAACGCCACTGACGATCGGCATGTGAAAACTGTCAAACGATTATCGACAGCACAGAAGAAGCCTCAGGATCGTCCATTTCGCTGTCCGGGTAATCGTATTATAAGCTGCCGGTTAATTCGATTTGTTAGGCATTAGTTTGACTGGTTCACATAACTTAATTACCTACATGCGTGATAACGCTTTTTGAACAACATATAGATATCTTTTTTTCAAAAATGCATTTATTTTATAATACAGAATAGAAAGAGTAAAAGCAAAAGAAACAGCGAAAGGGGTTTCCATAATATAATATTATATTAATACGTGTACAAAACGGTTCTTTGAATAAAAAAGGAACAAAAATAAAACAGCGAAAGATTCGCATCAAACGACTTTTTAAAAGAAGAGAAAATAGAAGCTGGAATAAATACAGATTTTATTTAATGCTAATGTAAGTGTAGATATCGGTTACAAGTCGTATCGAAACGGAATATCTTATTCGCGTTTCCTTATAAAACTTCACGGGTCGATTATGGCATATTGATTTGAAATCAACAGGGGACAAAAACGTCGATACGGTGCGACAGTCAGCTAGCCGCTCTTTTTATTCACAAAAACTGTCGATCGTTTCGCTTTCAAGCTCTCCGCTTTCTCCTATAAATCTTTGATACCGGTTCAATGAGATTCAGTGTGATTATCGAATGACAATTGGTGCGACATCCGCGAATTTTCAAGATATCTCTAACAGCGATGTGTATATAATTTTTGCTTTATTGTTGTAGACATATCAAGATACATCGAAGCAAATTTGGGACTGTATGTATCAAACAGTTGTTAAAATGTTTAACATTTGTTAAGAAGGGATAAAGGAAGAACAATTTTGTTCGGTGTGCAAAGTTGTAAATAACGTTAACATATCTATTCTGTAACTTTGACATTATCACACATTTTGGTGCAAATATAATAGCTATGTGATAATACAGTGTACAGATAAATAACGATAGCGATATTGTGGTTAAAAGTTACAAAATATGCGTACTCGCCATTGAGTTTCAGTGAGATAAGCTTCAACAGAACGTTTTGCAGAACGTCGTGATAACAATTGCGTAACATGAGAACACGAAGTGTTTTGAGAAGATTCATGCTGTTGATTGTTTTGCTGATGCATCATGAAGATCATCTTGCAGCGGGAAACGAAGAAACATGCAAGTCAAAGATGAACCATGATGCTTATATGCATCGAAATGATCTTTCCTGCCAGGACGATGCCTTGGATAATAATTTCTCTTTCATCCAGCGATACAAATCAACAAGATCTTGCACGCCGGATTTTGATGTAACAGGTATTTCATCTCTCACGTTTGCACTGTTGACTGCAAGTAAATATAAAACTTTTATTTTTCCAAAATAAGCAATCACTATTTATAAAGTGGAATTCTAATACATATTATTAATTAAACATAATCGATAATCGCTTTGAAATATATGGACATCTTTTACAGATACGCTGAAATATCAACGGAAAACGATTTTTATCATTTCGTTGCGTTTTAATCCTTGTGCGATCGATATGAGATATCGATGGGCGATTCTTTTTTTGCAATTGCCCCAAAAAATGTAAGAAAATGCTATACTGAATCCTTTTTCAATAACCGTGAAATATCGACGGGAGATATTCTACGTTTTATCGACCGAGCGTCGGTAAGTGCAGGAGCGACGACTTCCTAGTGATTCCTGTAGTCTTTGTCACGGGTCATGGGCGACAATTCCGCTGGAGACCAGCTTTCAAGGGCGAAGCTCTTGACGAATTAGTTAAACCGTGGCAAACATGATTTTTGTCATGTGGAATTTTATTCCGCATTTTGCTATTTTCTTCTGGAATTCAATGTAGAAGCCGTGGCAATTCTTACATTCACAATTGCGAATAACGTATTTATGGGCGCTGTAATTCCTGATTACGGCTCTGTCAGACGCTTTCCATCGGTTTTCGCGCTCGCGGCGCGCAGTCGGCGCTAAGCGACGCCGAGTGACGGATGTGATTGTGTGTCTCCGAGGAGCGGTGCAACATCACCGAGATCGTGGATCGTTCTGTCAGTGTGCTCGCGAGAGAGAGAGAGAAAGAGATGTTCCGTGACAAGGGGACGACAATCGGATGCTGGCTCGTGTGGTGCTGCGTCTTTCTAACGTCTTTCCACGTGGTCAGCGAGGCACCAGCAGTCGACGTTAACGGTATGACGCGATCGCCCTTTCCGTGAACCAGAACGGATAAAATCCGACGGGTTGCGGGGAAGATCAATACAGAGAGAGACCGTCCTCGGCAAACCATCCGCAAAATATTTAAACGATTGAGGCGCGCCGAGAGAGCTTCGCGTGATATTTTTCTTTCAGCTGAATACAAAGTTTAGATTGGTTCTCACTGAATGAGCTAGTAGGCTCTGATCTTCTTAGCCACACCAGCATATAATAATTGCTGCATTCTGCTTTGAAATAAGTATTTCAATGTTATACGAGCATCACACGAATAACAGTTTCTACGCATAAATCACATGCCACCTTTCTTATTTTTATCGCAAACGTTACTGCTTGTGGAACGTTACGATGTGGAATCTTGGAAAGAAAAGGGAAGGATTGAAAAAAACTGCAATAGATTTATTGTTCGCATATAGATGTCTAACATAGATAAAGTTATTTAGTATATAGATAAAATAAAGAGGTCATTTTGATCCTTTCTCAATCTCAAGAGAAATTGATAGACACTTCTCTTAACACCATTGAGTTCCATTTTTATTACGAACGCAACAACTGATTTTGATTACGTTAATTTACAATGAAAAGATGAAATTTGAGGATCAATTCTTTCATTTTTTAAGGATGTACATAAAATTCTGTACTCTTTCTAATATTAATACATATTTTATATCGCAGAATTCTTTCACGTGCTCTTTAGTGACTACTTTTTTCTTATTTCCTTTATTCTTTCATTTATCTTTACTTTTTTCTTATTTCACTTCTACAGATCTGATATTTTTTCGCCACCCACGCATTAGCCCATAATAAGAATTTCTTCTTTAGGAAATCTTAAAACTGTGTCAATTGCGTCTCTTTGATCTTCCCGAGAGATGAGCCATAAATTAACTTGCGGAAGAGAGTTAATAATACGCAATTACATATTTTTTTTCTTTTTTTACGAGGGAGGTAGCGAGAAGAGGCAGAGCGAAAGGCATCGTTCATCGACCCTTGGCGACGAGTTTTGGCTCTTTCCTCCTCGAAGCGATACGTATCTGAAATGATTTATTTCGCGAAGTGCACCTCGCATGTTCGCTAATATCAAACTAAAGTACAAGACTTGCATTAAGTAGAACCTAAATTAGATCATTCAATATTCTGACGTATTTTGTAGATTGTTTTTATTTTCTATCGAATAATAATTATTAATATTTTAAAGCGCATAAAATCTTTTGTAATGCTCCCGCATTATCGTTGATATAGAATTAAATAAAAAAACTTTGTCTTAGTGATTTTGATTGGATCTTTATTCGCGACAATCTAATTAATCTAATTAATCATACTTTGGGCACAAATAACGAAATATTTGTCACGAATAAACGTGTTTCAAAGAATGAGGTCATAAAGTTTATCGATGGGAGGCACAATTCCGCAGCATAATTTCAAGCGGCATATTTTTCATCGTGTAATCGAATTTTAATCGTCGCTTAAATAGTTGTAATACTATCTTTTATTTCTACTGTAACGGTGCAAGCAATAGCGTCCGTTATAGTAAAAATAAAAGGTGATTTATGCGTAGAGATGTACACGTGTGGAGATATAAAAGTTTATCGTTAGATCTCAGATGATGTTCGACATCAATGATTACATAGCGTAACAACGATTCACGGAACGTGAACTAATTCTCGTGATCTAATTTTAATTCACGGCGTTCTTTTGGATGCTTTATAAACCGGATCGAGTGTACGGTTCTTATCATTCCATTTCCTGCGTTGCTCGTTATACGAGCTGACACGAAATGTGCTAATTTTGAAATTCCTTAGCATAATTCGTTTTATATCATTGAGAACTTGGCGTAAAATCTTTTCAACTGAGATAATAATTTCTAATTAGTGTATCTTATCGCTAAAGCTAAATATATACATACATTTTTACGCTTATATACAATCTCTTGTAAATTGCTCGCCAAAAAGTGTAATGTTATAATATTGCGCAAAATTTTAAGTAAATCGTTCTCCAGTCTTTAATCGCTTTCTAAAATAAATAATGAAGAGAAGCTCTTCTCCTGGAATTCTCGTGGATTCGGGACGTCGTCTAAAAATATCTCGAGTAGCTTGCGTAAGTGTATCGACAGCTCAGCGATACAAGCATCATGCATGAAAATGCGCGCTCTCGCATGGCGTTAACGCAGCCGGCGTACGTGCTGCGGCTCTCGTGGGCGCTACTTCTCGACGTGACATCACAATGCTCAGGCGTAATGCTGACGAGTCCATCGGCTGTGCAACAATGACGATTTAGCTTTGTCCCGCGACATCCTTAAAACTCCGATGCACAAGAACAATACGTCTTCGGCACCAATGCACAGTTCTCTTTTTTCTTTTCAGATGAAAATTTTGTAATATATTTTCTAACGAGCCTCTTTCATCTGTTAACTGAGGAAGACGAATTCACTCGTTCTTTGCAAATGCCTCTACAATGGGCGAGACGAATTAATTTGTCGTAAAAATTTGAAGATTTCCCATCAGAAATAAGTCATATTCGCGTTTTTTATGGACGAGTTAATTCGTCGATGGTTACTTTTAACTACACGCATGGAGATTATTCTTCATGAAGAAATTGTCCAGTTAAGCAGAAAAGTAATTTCGTGAAATGTGACAATCATACGACGATCAAATTATTATTTGATTTTCCATTTCTAATTGCTGTTTTAGATGTCCTGGTATTTTCCGTCGCCTCCAACGAGACGGATGGCTTTCAAAGGTACTTGAGATCGGTCGAGATTTATGGATTTCGCAAGAACTTGAACGTTCTTGGGCTAGGCGAGCCCTGGAGAGGCGGCGACATGAAGACTGCCGGCGGCGGATACAAAATTAATCTTCTGAAAAAGGCCTTGGCGGATTATCGGAACGACGCAAACAGGATCGTTCTGTTCACCGATAGGTTGGTTACAGCCCAATTTTGCAGGAAGAATATTCCGTGACGCACATACACCTCTTGCTTTCAGTTACGACGTCATATTTCTCGGCGGACTGGCCGCGATCGTCGAGCGATTCCTGGATACCAGCGCGCGAGTCCTATTCTCCGCGGAAGGTTACTGCTGGCCGGACAAATCCTTGGCGGCCAATTATCCGCCTGTGTCGAGGGGCAAGCGATACCTGAACTCCGGAGGTTTCATCGGATACGCGAACGACGTGTACGACATCCTGGACAACACGCCCGTCAAGGATGAAGATGACGATCAATTATTTTACACCACCGCATACCTGCGTGAGGAACTTAGAACGCGGCACAAAATCAAGCTAGATCATAAATCTGAGATATTCCAGAATCTCTTCGGCGCAGTAGGTGAGGACAAGCGAAATCCGCGACCAAGTATATTAGCGTTAAGTTTGGCGCAAAAGGTTTGTCGCATCCGTCAAATAAAGCTAAAAAAAATGAGCAAAATATTCGAGCTGCGCAAACTAAGATTTTTCGCTTCGGACAAAACTTGACAGAAGAATAACGAGATCTTTTGCGCGAAAACATAATATTTTTAATAGCGGCGCATTTAATTTATATCACTTTCGTCGTTTTTTTACAGCCGACGTAGAGCTCAGATTCAAAGGAGAAGAGGCTTATCTCCAGAACATTGTGTACAGCACGATGCCCCTGATACTTCATGGCAACGGCCCTAGCAAGCTGGTCTTCAATTCCTTGGGCAATTATCTGGCTCGCGCTTGGACACCGGACGAGGGATGTTCGGCCTGCTGGGACCGTACCGTCGAGCTCGACAAAACCAAGCCGAATACGTATCCGGTTATCGTAATAGCCGTCTTCATCGAACATCCCACGCCGTTCTTGGAAGAATTCTTTCAAGCTATCTACCGTCAAGCTTATCCGAAATCGAGACTGCATCTATTCATCCACAACAACGTGCCCTATCACGAAAACGTGGTGTACGATTTCTTCGAGAAGGTCAATCAGGAATATGTGAGTGCGAAACAGATATTGCCGAGCGACGGGATCACCGAAGCGGATGCGAGAAAGCTGGCGATGTAAGTATCAGTGAAATTATGCCGTGGCTTAACTAACGGCTGCATTTAATTGACTATTGTTCGTTAAATTAAAAAGAAAAAAAATGCGATTTAATATCGAACCGAGTGAAAAGGCGCGCGCAACACTTGGATGAATGTTAAAGAGCCGTCTGTTTTCACAGGGAGCATTGCTTTTTGAAGAAGTGTTCCGGATATTTCTCGATCGACGCGGTTGCGCACTTGGACAACGAGCACACGTTGAAGTTGCTGGTGGAGCAGCAGCGAGGAATCGTCGCGCCCTTGCTCATTCGACCGTACAAAGCCTGGAGCAATTTCTGGGGTGCTATAACGGATGACGGATTTTACGCGCGAAGCTTCGACTACATGGAGATAATAAAAAACGAACGCAGGTAAAATGCATACAAATACTCTAATCCTCTATATTTCGCTTGAACGGAACTACGATGACATTGACAACTCAACTTTGGAAGAAAGCAGATTATTATTCTAAATAGATACTGATTTGCACATTGCGGTCCTCGACAGAATTAAGAACAACTTTGAAAATATTAGAACAATTTAGTTTCTTCTTGTCAGTTACAATGAAAATACATATCGCTCTAAGCCGTTTTCTCAAAGTCACAGTCTACCGTTTTATGTCTATCGTAAAAATTTTACACAGTGCTTGATTTACGAGTTTTACCTAATTACGTCTGTCGGGTCTCTCGGATGGTTGCACTAATCGAAAGCGATTGAGAAGTCAGTCTTGAAAGACCGTCGATCGATGCTGTACATGTTGTCGGCTGTGCATTCGTAAACCCCTGCGTCCATTTGAGTGGCGGGATCGATCTCGATTTTCGACTTCACTTTGTCAGGACCAACTTGCCACTCGTGTATCTGCAAAGAATGAGATATCATTTTAATTAAACTGCTTGTATTATCAACTGTAAATGCACAGCTCGACTGTTCACTCTTAAAGAAATGTCTTTGTTAACATTTTTATAACATTGCGTATTGGATGTTTGTCGTAACAGTTTGCACAATTTTTGAGACATTTACGATTTGAGAAATTATTATTATTTATTAAAATTATTATTATTATTAATTTGAGAAAAAATAGTTGTAAGTAAACAACGTCTTTGTTTTAAACTTGATTTCAATATAGCGTAATAAAAGATACTTTTACTCAAATAAAAGTAATTTTAAATTTTGTATAAAAAAGAATAAAAAAGATTTTTGATTATTTTTTTACCGTAAGTTGTAGCTTGCATAAAATGCTTATATTTTTTTTCTTCAATCATCGCAAACGTCTGAAAAATCGTGCTGTTGCAATAAATATCCTAAACTTATTGCATATCGAAAATTCTAAACTGACATGTAGATAATGATGCGTGTAAATCTCAGCGCCATCCTTGAACCATGTAATGTGCGGGCGCGGGTTGCCGCGAGCGACGCAGAGGAAGGCTATTTTGTGTCCCAAGACGTACTCCAGATCGAAATGCGACGCTAACAATATTTTGGCTCCCTGAAAGGATCAGCGGGTCAATCAGTATACCATAATTTTAATCTGTCATCAGAAAGACACGCGACAGTGGAAAAAGTTCTTGGGAATTCTGTCTACATACGTTGTTATTGTTGTAATACTGATCACTTTCCGGATCACGGTACTTTCCGGTAATGGGCAATCCAATCTGCACGCGAGACTTACTTCTGCTCCTTCCTCGTCCTCTTCGGCCGAGCGTCTCTTGACAATTAAGCAGTATTATACCCAGCAGGATTAAGAGCACCATGAAGCGTGACATGATAATCTGACGAAAGTAGAACGTTAAAGACAAGATTAAGTAATATAACGCCGCGCCGTGTGCCTGCAGATATTGCATTGCACGTCCGAAAATATCTACATCGGAGCGACGTGATCCAAGTGATCACACCAAGTTAAATTCCCAAAATTACGAGCTAACGAAAGAAAGCGCAAGAACGTTGTGAAATGCCGAAATCTCGTGCTCGGCGTATATTTATTCGAGTAAGAGCACTGCAAGTACTCACTGTATGCAGCAGCGTTCGTCGATCACACGGAACTCCGATACAACTGACAGTCACCTACTCATTACTCCCCTAGTATCCTCTCGTATCTATTACAGACTTATATGCAGATATACTGTCGGGCTATATACATGTGGACTGGTTATTTCTTTGCAGCAATGTGATCTCACTATCAATTTCTATCAAATCTGCAGACCGCTCATCCATTAATTTAGCCATATCCATCCCTTTCGGATGATTCGACGCAGCCTACGATTTCTCGTCATTTTCAAATTAATTGTAATCTAACAAGGCACGTTCGCAACAACATATTTAATTAAATTGCCTGAGAATGTTACGTCGTTAAAATTGAAATTTAGGAAAATGGAAAAAGTTAAAAGAGAGTGAGAAGGAAATAAGCGTGGCTGTAGTTTAACACTCGTGCAGATAATTTATTTCGCAAAATATTCGTGCAAACTGTTTATCAATGCATCACGCATTGTCGCGTTGTTCGCTGGTGGCAATGCAGCAAAGCATACCCTTCCATGACACTTTCGCGCGGCACAATTGCCTTGTTAAATTCGCGGTGATGAACCATTTTCGATATATTCCTCGCGCCATATACACGTCATCCTTATAATAGTCAATCATGCTTTAACGAATAAGAACTGGGGGAACTTGCAAATTTGTATTCATATCTTTACACTATCTCATTGACAATCCAAATGGAAGATCTGTTTTGCTCACGTTAAGGGGAAAAAAGGCGAGCTATTTTATAACGCACAAAGTGTTGTTTGCGCTGCTAAAATTGAATTTCGCATTACTGATGCCTCCGTCGTAAAGATTGCCACGTGAAAAGCCGGCGAGAAACTGCTCGGTCAGCATTTTATCAATTGTCCGTGTGAATTCGACTGATCTGTTAAAACGTAAAATTTTTATTTGCACACTTCCCATTAAAGCTATTAACAATTAAGAACTAGTAATACGACTGCTGGTTAAACAGAAATGTATCAAGAGATAAATCGTTAATAATAGTGCTGTCTATTATTGACAAAGTATTATAGGTTCTACTATGCGATCGCAGCTACAGTCGGAAAATGCGTTTAATACGAGATCATAACGTAATCCGTTCTAAAGCCTCGTCGATCGACGGAGTACTGATTATCCGCCTGACATTCGTAGTAACCCGCGTCCTTCTGCGTGGCAGGATCTATCTCCATTTTCGATTTTATCGTGTCGTTATTAAACCACTCGTGTACCTGCCGGTTTGAATAGTCTCAGTCTTTTCACGATTATCCAACAAAAGATGCATTTTTTAACAGCGAATTTCTTTTATGGCAAGTAAATCTCTCTTAATAATGGAAGAATGAAATACCTACCTGGAAGAATTGATGATGGTAGAGCTCGATGCCGTCCTTGAGCCAAGTGATTTCCGGTCTCGGGAAACCGGTGGCCATGCAGAAGAACGTGATCTTTCTGCCCAGCATGTAATCCAGCTCGAAGTGGGACGCCTTCACGATCTTGGCACCCTAAAAAAATCCGCCGAGCGACGTCACTAAGTGTGTCCCGGACTCCGTTTGTCGCGCACATCTCTGTCAACTCACATCCTTGTTCTCGTAATAGCGCGCACTGGCAGGATTTCGGTTGGGTATCAGGATGGGTAACCGCGAGTTGTACACCCTTCCTCGGGGACGGCCTCTCCCTCTACCTATGCCCTTTGCCGCTTCTGTGCTCATCATCAGAGCCGTTAATAAGAACAAATAGAGCAGCCGGCATTTCGTCATTTGATCTGCGACCAGAGAAACTTGACTGAGCTGATGTGACGGGGACGGTAGTTGCGCGGGCGAACCTTCGCGGGCACTTTATATACGTTTCGCACTATCTATCATCTATCTATCGCACTTGATACGTCTGTGAGAAATTCGATGATGAGATCAATCAATGAGCCGCGTTCCGCGAATAATAACGCACGCGGCGATCCGCAATGCGATAATGAGTAATCGCGCGCGACGCAATAATTCATCGGCGTGCATGAATTTCTATCCGGATATCCTTACCGTAGTTTTGAGGAACTCGGCTGACCCCTGAGATGCAGAATGTATTACCCGAGACCGGATCCGCTGGATTCTACCGCCTAAAATACGAATGGGCCACCCGACGCGCCACGGGCACACGTAGTTACACGCTGGTGTGACAGAGTTATGAATCTCAATTGGATAATTATGCATAACCCATTGCCAAGTGTGTTCATCGGCCAATCGCGGCTACCACAGTGATCACCTTACAAAACACTTAAGCGACGACCTCTGGAAAACAACGCGACGTGCACCCCGCTCGCCGTAGGCGCAAACAAGCGCGTCTGCTCTCAACCTCCGCTCCGTTCCGACGTGCGCCCTTTCTCAACTGCGCTCTTACGCAGTTCGTCGAATCACGTTCACGTTTGTTTCAGGGGACTGTGGAACGTGCCGTTCGTCAGTAACTGCTACCTGATCAACGCGACCATCATAGCGAACAAGGCGACGCGGCCGACTTACGAGGACGGCGACTTGGACACGGAGATGGCGTTTGCCCGCGGAAACCGGCAGAGAGGCCTCTTTATGTACGTCAGTAACAGGCTCGAATTCGGTCACCTCGTCAATCCCGATACTTACGACATCCGGCTCACCTATCCGGACATGTATCAGATCATGGACAACAAGCTGGACTGGGAGAAGAGATACATTCACTCCAATTACAGCGAAAACTTTAATCCCGATAAAAAGCCGATACAAGTAAATAATCGAATTATCCAGTTGATTGAAAAATCTAGTTTTTTTTTTTTTTTAGGAAATTCAAAGACGAGTCTTAGTTTTACACATAAAACTTGTCTTCGAAAACTTTCTTAAAAAAAAAAGAAACTTGTGCTTGTTTAATATACAACTTTGTTGCTCGCAGCCGTGCCCCGACGTTTATTGGTTCCCCATTGCTACTCTGCGATTCACTAAGGAGCTTATAGGAATCGTCGAGACTTTCGGACAATGGTCCGACGGATCCAATCAGGTAAGTTGACGCTCTTCTGCACGGTGAGTCTCTTTCAACAGTCGGTTGATTTTAGTATATAAACTTGGTAACTGAGAATCTTTGTATTGCAACAACTTTCTCGGCAGGATCCACGCTTGTCGGGTGGTTACGAAAATGTGCCGACCCGCGACATTCATATGAATCAGATTCAGTATGAGCAACAGTGGTTGTACTTCTTGAAAGAATTCGCTAAGCCCTTGCAAGAGCTCGTCTTCACCGGCTACTATCACGACGTAAGACTCACTTGTGTATGATGATTTTTCCAGGATTCCCGATTGGACACCGGATACGAAGCGGTACCAACTCGTGATATTCACATGAACCAAGTCGGTCTCGAGGATGCCTGGTTAAAATTTCTCAATGATTATGTCAGTCCCTTGCAACAGCATGTCTTTACAGGATACGAGGACAACGTAAGACTCTGAAATCTGGGTTTACGGAAGGTTTATGGCCCTAATACGCACAGATTTACACACAATGATACATATGCATCCCTTCAGTGCACAGGGTTTGGATGAAATTCGAGGGTTGATCAGTTGAGCAAGATTTCTATCATTCCATTTACAGTGTAAAAGCTGTAAAAGTGAAAATGTGTATAAAATGGAGGGAACCTTGCTTGTTGATCAACTCTTGTAAGTGGTTAGAGGTGTACCGCTTCGTAACGGATGATGGGAGGATTCCTGCTTTATTCCAAATACTTTTAGAACCATGTTGTAAATTATCTTATTTCGAATCACTGTACCATAATTGCCGCATTATTCCAAATATTGTACATTTTAGAATTATATCGATGAAACCTTCTGTTTCGGATGTTACATTAATGTTGTGTCTCCAGCCGCCGCGGTCGCTCATGAATTTCGTCGTGAGGTATCGCCCGGACGAGCAGCCGTCCTTGAGACCGCATCACGACTCCTCGACCTACACCATCAACATCGCCTTGAATCAAGCGGGGGTGGATTACGAGGGCGGCGGATGCAGGTTCATCCGATACAACTGCTCCGTCACCGATACGAAGCCAGGTTGGATGCTAATGCATCCTGGAAGACTAACGCACTATCACGAAGGGCTGCGAGTGACTGCGGGCACACGTTATATCATGATCTCCTTCGTCGATCCGTGATAAGGCTCGCTGCAAATCGATAAATCGTCGGATTGTTACTGTATCGAAAATACAGACATACGTATTAAGAACGGAAAATGTTAAAAATGGCGGAGGAACAGCGCAAGATGTCAAAGAGAAATATAAATCTATATGGAAGTGTTCATTGTTATGGTCTAGATACGTCAATTACCGCTGGTGGACTCAGTGTATTTAACAAAAGAAGCTGCTTAATTGATGTATTATTTTTCTACTTTAATGTAAATGCACGGCCGATCGTGTTTCATATCTAGTAATCGCAAATTTATATTAAAAAAAAATAAAATAAAATTGTAATATATGCTATTGCAATAATCACATTCGTTAATATTTGAGCATACTGGTTGGGGGAAACGAATCAATGTTTTCAGCAATAAATGTCGTTAAAACGTGGTGAGTATATCGTTTCATTTTTCTTCGTGTTCTTATAATCATGGTCGAAAGAAGAAGGGTTAAATCAACATTTTTGGTTTTGATTCTTCATTGTATCTATACAATTCTTCAATATGTTACAACACTAGGAACGTTCACAGGATAAATAATTAAAAGCAGCGTCACCGAATAGCAAATTTTCAAAAATCGCTTTTAATTACATCCCTGCACATTTATTTACACAGTAGAAAACCTCAGAGTTGATCGCGATGGTACATGTCACATGTGCAAAACTAACATAATTAAAGCCATGTTGTTTTCACTATGGAATAAGTACTCATTGAATCAGCTTGTTACACGAGTTTCAATACAGACTTTTTTTAACCGTTCGTTATATTGCTTTCTCATCTCTCGTAAAATTGTCCAGAATACAGTAGTGTAACATCCATCAAAGTTAATCTTAAAGCACTTTTGGTTTTTAACCGCTTTATTTTTTTTTAGCGCCACTTGTATTTATACGTTTTAATTTTTGAGTGCTACGTAATTTCTTTTAGTAATTTAGAATGTGTAGCGTAAGTAAGAAGCGAGCGAACGCAACACGTTTGGTCATCGCAAAACGTTTCTCTCATACGTGTTCTCTAACCACATTAGATATTTTGGTAATCACGAATGCTATAAATTTAAATTCACAATAACGTTTAATTTAACTAAGTCTTATTTACAGTTTTGTTCGATCCATAGAAAAAAATGATTATACATAGATATATATATATATATCTCTCTCTCTTTTCAGAAACCAGCCCGTTTTAATTCGTTTAACTGGTGCGCCAGTTTCTCTTCCTTAGTTCGTCTCGCTTGACCTAGCTTTCGGCACTCGATATACGTGCTGAGAAAGCGCTCGACGTCGATCTTCCGGTTGAGAAAATCTTCTGCGATCTTCTCGCTCTCTTCGTGGCTCTCGTCCGCCGCTTGTCTCAAACACTCTTTTATGTGATCCGGCGTGAAAACCTCGGACAGCTTGTTGTATCGTTGTATGAGATGATCATATCTGGCTTTTAGCACCGCCACAGTTTTCACCTTGTCTGCTACGTCGGCTTGTAACTGCTTCAGTTCCGGTTCTTTGGTTGCGTTAGTTTCTACAAAAAAAGATACAAGTTAATCATTAATCAAAGCAAATATTAGATGAATAGTGTAGACTGAAGAAAATAATTTATATATACGTGTGTGTGTGTGTGTGTGTGTGCTATATAATTTCAATATTCCATAATAAAAATATTCTTTACCGGCAGTTTTTTCAACCCAATCCATAGCATCCTCAACAGCTGCGTTTATGTCTTTAATTTGGGAATGTTTTTCCAGGAAATCGTCTAGCCTATCTTCATCTTCGCTAAGCCTCTTCAATTCCTCGTTAGTCAAATTATTTAACTCGGGAAATATTATACTCTGGGGTGCATTTGTCTGCGATTGATTTGGTAACGGCTGCTGATAATTTGCGTTCGTGTAATGCGAATTCATGTAAGAGCTGTGCTGATTCGAGGTGTACTGCATAGGTGTGGCATTGTGCAGAACACTGTTTCTTGAACTTGTAACATACGCCGAGTGGTGTGTCGTGCCGAATGATTTTGAATTCGAGACATATGTGTGACCGGAGTTTGTATAATTATAATTATAAATGCACGTGTTTGCACTGGAGGACGACAAGTGTGGAAACTGTGTATTGTAATACGAATTGAACGACGTAGACGGAATTTCGGTAGGATATTGCTGAAGCGAATAAGACGGCGAGTTTCTTCCCTGAGAGTCTGCAATCATATATGAAAAGTATCTGATTATGCTGAGATTCGACTAAATGAGTAAAGTGACATCTACCTCTGTGAGATTTTGTAGAGCCAGGTGAAATATCTTCCAACAATTGTGGTGGATTTTTGCTGAACTCTCTGATAATAGCTTGAACAACTCGACCAAGATCACTATGTACTGAAAACTGACATAAACAATAGCGAAACAATTATGTATCCTTAGAAACAAAAATAGAATAAAAAATAAATGTAAATATGTATCAAATAAAAAAATAATATTACTTACATTAAGTAATCCCGGTGCACTAGTGATTTCGCTGTGTTCATTGCACCAGGGATGACTTATCGGTGGGGAAACTCGAAGCACTGGCTTCTCCAATGGAAAATTCTGTGATAAAGAAACCATAATAGCCATTCGATTCTCACCAGCTTGAAATTCCACTTGATAGTCCACATTTTCTCTGAGCTCTACTACACTGTAAAATGTTATTACACATATTATGCCATTATTGCGAAACACATTAAAAATGACAGTGGCTTTGAACTAGTATTAATTTCTTATTTCAACCCAATTATCTCCTCGCTGTTATGAAATATTCAATCAAAGTATGACGTATACGTGATTTAAGACAATGACGCAGATACAAATTAGGAAAAAAAAATCTCAATAGCGATTATATCGTTAGCGGAAATTTTAATCCCTTTAACATGTCTAGAAACATCACCGTGAAGACAAGCGTGGCGATCAAACGTGGATGAGCGTTCGTGAGCAGTACAAGTGAAAATTATGCACAAATATAATTCAACTGAGGTTAACAAGAGATTACAATGAGAGGTTTGAGCATTACTCTTACTTGTCATTAAAGATTTTTAGAGTGTCGATTTGTCGTTTGCGTTTAACTGCGACATTCTCATTTTCCCCACGGAATATTCGTGATATCATTTAAGAGCCTGGATTTTTGATAAATCATCCGCTTGGTCAGTCGATCTCTCTGTCAAAGCAACCATATAGCAGAACAGCTGTTTTAACCTCGTTGCACTTCACGTAAAAGAACGGAAGGGCTCTTGATCGGATTCAACGCGAAAAGCCCACTCTGACTAGTAGCACTGTCAAATGGCGCTACTGTCATCTTCCTGGCATACGGAGATTCACGTCAATGGCTACCAATGACATATATAAATATGCAGATCAAGAACATTTATTCACTTTAGCATGCAGAAAATGAAGCTAGAAATTAGTTTTTTATAACTGAAAGAAGTAATTGATTTGTAAGACCACATCTCACTTTTACTGCATCTCAATTGTGTCAAACGTGTTTATTGTTTACAATTATGACCACGGACGCCTTATCGCGTCCAATAGTTTTTATCGCCATCTAGCGACAGAAGGTTGTAAGCATTTCCTTTATCGCTAATGATAATTATTTAATAGCTTCAATTATTGGATAATCATACGTGGATATGTTTTATTTACATAATTATATATACATCGATTTTTTCAGGTAAATGAAGTAACCTATGTAAAAAATATACATAGTATTACATGTTATTCTGTAACATAATATACATAATATTTTGAAATGTACGTCTCACACATACTACACATACTAATAAGGAAAGTAACGCAAGTGTCCGCCTCTGATTTTGACGGGCTTCAAATATGTGTAGAGTAGCTAAAAATAAAAGACATGTATTTTTTATACGTGTTCAATCGCATGTTTAAGGAATAAAATAACCCTTATCCAAAATATCTTTTAAAATTTTAACGATATTCCCTTATAATCAAATACATTGCGTTAGCTTGTATTTGTAGAGGTTGTTTCAACCCCTAACATGCGATGGAGCACGTATAAAAAACTACGTATCTCTTATTTTTAGTTATTCTATAACATATTTAAAGCCATCAAAATCGGGACAGTAGCGTCACTTTCCTTGTTAGCTAGAGTTTGTTATAATATCCTTAAAATATATAATGATTTAAAATACTAGAATTTCTTGTTTTGAGTGTGTAGTTTCTTGAGCAACAAGGTGATCCTCCTTTGCGCACTTAACGATTTAGTAGACTTATGATCTTTTCAGCGTCAGACATTGAAGTGACAAACCTGTGAACCAATTTACAATAATCAATTGTGATCATAAATACTAAGATATTAACTTAATATTATATCCCAGAAAACATTATGCCCATAAATATCTAGCAACTCACGTACAAAAATGGCTCATACTGCGCACACCAAATTTTATCCCAGTGCGTTGTCATAGCGGTAACAAAATGCTAGCACACTTGCAAAACGCTTGCACTTTGCGAGCAATACACGACTTATACACGACTAAACATATCCCACGAGCAAAATTCAGGCAAATTGCTACACAAATTATTTGCATAAGACGCGCAAACTTTGCGCGCAAGAATTGTTATTTGGGATGATGCATCCCACACGGAACATAATATCCAATAGACGTCCATATAATCTCCATAACTTCATACTACATCTATCTCTACGATGGATATTGGATAGGTTTCTATTAGAAATCCATATTATTTCCATGATAAATGACGATATAAATCCGTCATAAATGTCTATTAGACATCTGTTATCGATGTTTGATAGAAGTATCAGTATCCATAGTAACGAATATTGTTAGGGCATCGTTGATGTCAAACGTTTCGGCTGATCATTCAGTCATCTTCAGTGCTAATATTACAAATCTGTTTAGTAGAAAGATTGTGGTTTCAATTCGTCATTAATAAAATTATTTGGAAGTAAAGTCACAAATGTGATTGCGAGATAGTCTTGTTTATGTAGGTGTTAACAGAGTGTCACCATGTTCTCGACTGTCTCACAGTTCTCGACTGTCTCACAGTCGTGACATTCTGTTAACACCTACATAAACAAGACTATCTCGCAATCATATTTGTGACTTTACTTCCAAATAATTTTATTAATGACGAATTGAAACTACAATTCATCAAAGCTCTATGAAATATCTATGGAACATCTATGATTGCTCCATATAATATCTATGAATATATTTAATGGATGTCGAATGGAGGTACGTAATGCGGAACTGTGGATGTCTAGTAGACATTTATAGGAGATTACATAGACATCTAATAGAGGTTTCGAATCTCCATGATGGACATCTAGTGGATATCCATTAGAGCTTTTTGTTCCGTGTGGGAGTATACTCACACAATTATCAAATCCATTTTTAAAAACAGATATTTACAAACATGTATATACGTCAATAATAAATAATTATCTCTTAAAAAAAATACATAGAATACAGAATACTTTTTAGAAAATATGGCAATTGCATTACAATTGACAACAATCTCATTAATACTTACGGTACAAAGGATTGATATATAGAACAAAAAAATATTCGCGTAGAGCATTGTGTATACATATGCTATCTGAAAAAACACCAGCAATCACAAAGTGCATATGTATATGCCGTCTTAACCTATAAATTTGGCAAACCGAGCTGATAGCATCTATTTCGCATTGTATTATCGAAAGAATTAATTTTGTTTTTGTAATTAATTGATAATATCTTTCAAATTAATTACTTTCAAATTAATTGATAATATCTTTCAAATTAATTACTTGAAATAAATGACAATTCTGGCCTTATCAAACGTGCTAAACTCTTTCTTTTCACATGACACTTGTTCACTGCACTTTTCCATGAGAGATTGACAATCTCGATAATCGACCCTTGCGCAAGTGATCTCCCGAAGGATTCCGACCAAATTCCGACACAGGCCGACCGCTACTGCCACGCAATCTATACAGGTGATTCAGGTCATTGCCCTTTCTACATGACTGAATCAAGGTCATAACAATATTAATAACAACTCCGCATTCCATGCGGTGCATCTTCAGTCTATTTATAGACGGCACAGGTGCCGAATTTTCAAAACGCTATAACTCAGCGAAAAATTGACGTAGCGACATGGGATAAAAACGGATATTCTCAGTTTTTATGCTGCACATGTTTCTGTACACTGCACATGTTTATGTACACTGCACACTGTCAGATAAAATTAAGATATTTTATATATCCGAATTATTTGAATAGTTCAAAGTAAAAAAATAATATAATCTACACTATTTTACGAGTATTGCACCTTACGAATGTACTAACAAGTGTTTTTTTTTCAGGTGTAAAAACAATTAAAATGCATTTTTAATTTAAAAATATTTTTATTGTTTATTTAATTTCCTTAATTTGGGAAAATAATCAACTTAACTTAATCATAATTGTATTAATTTTGTATTAACCAAACCAAAGAATTACCACTAATTAAATGTAATTTAGTTTTATTTAAACTCCTTTGCTTTAATTTCTAAGAAAGAGACCTCGTCTGCACTTCTCACCCTTAAGATTTGCACTGGTTCTGTCCCTGGCAATTGAGATCTCTATTTCACATCAATAAGGGAACCACCGAACGGCAATACTAAACAACGGTGTGAAAACGACCTTTCCAATTGTTGACTCGTTTTTCAGAGTCCTAAATAAACCGTTCAGGTCACTGGAAATCTCAAGTTACAGAAATCAGACCCATAAAATCTGACCAGTGAGTCACAAGTGTTACGATCCTCTCGTGGCTTTCCTAAATTAGGACGTAACACGTTACTATTTATTATTATTCGTATTTACAATTTTTTAAAATACAAACCGGTGTAATTTAAACCAGTTATTAATTCTTGCATTGTCGTGTAAGAACGCTTATCGGTCAAGCTCATCACCTTAGGAACGCTGACGGTTTATTGTGTTTACTGAGTGATATGTCGTGTTTATTTTATTACACGTGTTGGAATAAAGTCGTCAAAGCTTATCGCTTCGGTGGCATGGTCTTGATCTAAACAATTATTAATTGTAAAAATTGTTGTTTATATGCATGAATAGAGACATGCGGTGTGAGAAACAATTTGCTGCAATGTAGCAATAACAATTAGATTGATGCAAAAGCTTGAATAATAAAGATGAAAAAAGAGTTGTGTGTGTACCGGAAGCGCGATAAGCGCGACAAGCGAGAATTGGGGAGTATTGATAAAAAAATGAAATGCAATGGAATTATTATAGCTTGTTCTTTTCTTTGTAATATTTATTGTAAATTAATTTTGTATTTGTTGTCAAGTATCTGCTTGTTTTACTGAACATTGTAAGCGTGTATTGTTAAAACTACATATCTTTAAAGGTGTTAACATTGTTTTAGGTAAATTTTGTTTGCACTTGTGTATACAGAATGCTTACGATTAGATGAGTGTGGAAGGCACAAATCGGTCCGAACGGACTTTGAGCGGTCAAAGATTAGCTTGAGACAGAGTACAGAGCGGTCTTCTCCCTATATGACGTACAGTATTATCGGGTCGTTGATAAATCTCGGTAGTCCTGCCGGGAGGAACATTCACGCGTCAGTCAATTTGAGTATCCGAGTCGGTTTACACATTTCAGTCAGTTTGAAGATCTCGTAGGAGACCGGGGCATATTAGCAAAAAGGCGAACAACAAACGGTTCGAAGATGTCTTTCGAAATGATGACCGCTCCACCCGGGCCAGAGGCTAGAGCACTGGCCGTGAAAGAACTGAGAGAGACCGAGGAGAATGTGAAAAAAGGTATCGAGACCTTAAGGAAGCTAGTCGAAGGTTAGTGAAATTGTTGTTATTTTGCCTATTAATTCTGAAGAGGATAACATTTTTTGAAAGTCTTTATTTCGAATTTACATTTTGCATTCAATTTATTGCTTTTTAATCTTTCAGTAGCATACAGTATCTTACTGTAGCCACTTCCAATTCTAGTTTGAAACACTTTGATTTACTGTAATTATATATTAAATATTTTTATAATTTTACAAATATGTGGTACCTTTTTTTGAAACTTTAAACTAAATGTGTAAATTTCTTCGGAATTTTTTGTAAATATCGAAAAAATATGTTGCTATAGAATTAAATATTGTAAAAAGTATTTCCTGTTTAAATTATTGTATTTTGTAATATTTTTTAATTTATCTTACCTGAAAAATGGGTTCTATTGGATAATACATATTCTTATGAAATAAATTCTTTTTTAATTAATTATTAATTAATTATTATTAATTATTAATTATTAAATTGTTAGCTATTAATTTAATATATAAATTATTTAATTGACTATATACTTTATTCTAAATAAAAAATTTTTTATATCGAACTTTCTGGATTCTGAAATTTATTTAAAGTATAATATTATTATTAAAAAAAAACTAAAAATTAAAATGTCTAGACTGAGAGAGAGACATAATTAAAGCGTCCATTCCATGTATTCTAAAAACTGTGAATAGATTTGTATTTTGCATAACAAATAGTGATATATTATTCTATAAATTACAGAATATAATGTTTTACATTTTCGAATTTTGTGATATCTGAAAGATTTGTATTAACACATGTTACATTTTAATTTTTTTTATTCCGTACGCTATTATTTAGTTTTTATTGTAGTGCCAGTTGTCGAAAATTCGATTAACAATTTCTAAATAAATTAGCAACAGAATAGATGCCATTATAGTTCTTTTAGACAGTTTTGTATAAAATAAAAATTAATTTTAATTTAAACTTGAATTTAAGTTTTCTTTTATATGTTAGACCGTTTAAGAATAAAAAAATTTTTATGATAATTACGCTTTGATATTAATTATCATTTGGACGGTACATTTGCTGAATAGATGCATTGGAAGATGTCGAGGTCACGTTGTGACATTCCGATAATAATTGCTTTTTCCATGCTTTATCGTTCTTCGCTTCGACTGCTTGCACAGCACATTTAATTTATATTCTTAGAATTAAAAAAACTGAACTTCCTTAAAAGTGATGTTATTTTCTAAATAAAATTACTTATTGTACTTTATTGTCACACATATACATCTCAATTTTTCGAATTTTAAAATGATTTAAAGTCTAGAATTGCTTAGAATTATATATTAACGTTAAAGAGACAAAATGTACAGTGAAAAAATATAAAAAGAGAGATAAAAAATTAATATCGTTTTACACATATCACGTTTTGCATTACGATGCAACTAAGATATTTACCAAAGAGTATATGCTTAATATGCATTATAAATTTTATATAACAAGTGTTATTAATGTAAATTGTAAATGTTGCTATAAGAAATAATCCGAAGTGGGAGATTTGGAAAAAATACTTCTCGCAAACATCTTACATGCGCGCCGTGCGTAGATAAAGAAATCGTAGATAACGCGATCAATCGACAGGCCAAGTGTATCTTGATCACTGAACAAAGAGCAAAAGGTGCACACATGATATCGAATATATCTCATTTGAGCACAATGTTAAGAGTCTTTTGAATTTTGAACGATGAAGCATTTTCTCAAGAGTTCTAAAGACTCAGGATTTATTTTTAAAAATAAACGGGATATCTCGAGATTACAAGAACAGAATTTCAGATAATCAAATGAAAGTCGCATAAATCGCTTATCGTGCAATAAATTCGCTTACACGCGATAATATAATTACGCGATGAACCAAGGTGCACTTATTTTGTACGGCAATTGGATAATTTTACATCTCGTCTCCTTTCTCTCTCTCTCTCTCT